AACCGTGGTGTATGATGTGACCAAAATAATAATAATAATAATATACTTTATTGTCATTGTACATAGTACAACGAAATTAAGGTGCAATCATTCGGTGATCTACAAGCATACTCACATACACTCACACAACCATTAGGGTTCACATTGCAACTTAACCACCAATGTCACCCAAATTCCAATTCATACAGCATTTAAAGCAATAATAGCTCTCGAATAAAAACTGTTTTTTAATCTGTTTGTCCTTTTTTTGATTGTCCTATATCAAAATTAATCACAACGAAACAATTATAAGATGACATTCCTATTATTACTGTTAGGTAACGTGATTTCTTCCACTGTTACAAGGAAAACAACTGACAGACACCAGCCACTCGTTTATTTATTACACTAGATAAGTAACGAAGGAGCTCCCAAGGGGGGGGGCGACTCTCATACGGCGCACGCGCACATAACCCTTCCTCCCATCCCTGCGCGTCATAACCCCCAACGCTTTACGAGCAAAAGGTCCAGAGGTGGGCATCATCGGCTCCGATCACAGGACGGCATCTACGCACGCGCAACAGATCGGGTCAACCACCCGCTTCTCCCGCGTCCTCCCCCGACGTCACATCCGCTCCCTTCTTCCTGCTCCCCCGCCCGAGCGTTTTTCGCTGCGCCGCGCGTGACGCCATCAGCGCCCGGCCGGAAGCGGAAGGAGTGTTTGGTTTCGTTCCCACCGGCGGCTGAGATCCTTTTGCGGAAGTAGCTCCAGGCCTGGTCCTTTCCCCCCCCCCTCTTCGGATCCCCCCGACCGCTCTAGGGCTGAGGGCGGCCGGCTTTCTTTCAGTCACGACTCTTTCCTCCGCGTGGCCGGGCGGCCGCCTCAGAGACGTCGCTCCCCAGCTTCCTGGTCCCGCTTCAGCCCCCGCCCATCATGGCGGCCACGTCTAACCTGCAGGTGGGCGGTTAGCTCTGGAATTCGCTGCCCCGAGATCTGAGGCTTCGGTCGCTTCCGGGAAGAAGGTTAGGCAGGCCCAGGCACCCACCCTGTCAGAAGCTTAGGAGAGCTCTAAAGTATTTTGTTGCTGTTCAGTCGAGTCCGACTCTTCGCGAGTCCAGTGTTCCCTCTAAGCTGAGTGAGTGTGAGCCAGCTCACAGTTTTTTAGCCTCCAGCTCACAGATTTTTGTCTCCGCTCAGGAAGGAGGGCTCCAGATCAAACTAATTTATATGGTTGCCAGATCGCTGGCTCACAGCTTTAATGCCAGTTGCTCACAAAGTAGAATTTTTGCACACAAGACTCCACAGCTTAGAGGGACCATTGTTCGCGACCCCATGGATCATCTCCCGCCAGGCCCTCCTGTCTTCCGCCGTCCTCTGAAGTTGGCTGAACTTCATGTTCGTTGCATCTATGACACTGTCCAACCATCTCATCCTTTGCTGTCCCCATCTTCTTTGACCTTCAATCTTTCCCAGCATCAGGGTCTTCTCCAGTGAGTGCTCCCTTCTCATTGGGTGGCCAAAGTATTTGAGCTTCAGTTTCATTATCTGGCCTTCCAGGGAACAGTCAGGGTTGATTTCTTTTAGGATTGACTGATTTGATCTCCTTGCAGTCCAAGGGACTCTCAAGGGTCTTCTCCAGCACCATAGCTCAAAAGAATCTATTCTTCGGCGCTTGGCCTTAAGTATAATAACTCTTAAGTATAATAACCTTTATTTACTCGTCTTTCTCCCTGTTGTGGGCTCGAAAACCGCTTACCACCTTCTCTTCTCCGTTTTATCCTCACAACAACCCTCTGAGGTAGGTCAGGGTGAGAGAGTGTGACGAGCCCAAAGTTGTCCGGCAGGTTCCCACGTAGGTTCGCCAGGCCCCTCCCGGCCACAGGTGTGTGGAAGGGGTAGGGTGACCAGCTCCAGGTTGGGAAGCCCCTGGAGATTTGGGAGTGGAGCCTGGGGCGGTGAGGGGAGGGCCTTCAGTGGGGTGCGTTGCCATGGAGTCCAGGCTCCAGTGCAGCCATTCTCTTCAGGGGAGCTGATCTCTGTAGCCTGGAGATGAGTTGTCATCCCGGGGTATCCCCAGGTCCTGCCTGGAGGCTGGCATCCCTGCTTCCATGGCCCAAGTGGGGATTTGCACCAGGAACCCCAAGATTATAGTCCAACCCTTTAACCACTACACCACACTGGCTCCTTTACGTTAAGAAAAATGACATACATTTTTATTCTGCTCTTCCTTAGAAGAGTTCAGGGCACCGGATCTCTGTCCTATCCTTACTCCACAGTGCTCAGGTCAGGTTCTCCTGTTTTATCCTCTTCTGCAACCTCATGACGTGGGCTAGGTGGAGGAGGGAGGAGAGGCTGCTCCAACCTCAGCCAGTCCTGGCCTGCACTTTGGCAACCACACCAAACAGTGGTGCAACAGCCACATTAGGGAACGCAGACTTCTTGTGTTCCCCTGGCATTTTCCAACAGACTAGATGAAGGATGGGAAGCAAGTGCTTAAGGCATGATGGGGAAACATTTGTTCTCTTTTTACACTAGGGGATGGGGGCTAGTAATACTGTATTCTTTTTGTGAGATTCTTAGAAGCATCTTGGGTGAGTACTATTACAGAGTACTCTGTAACTGGCTCAGTGGTGGAGGATTTGATTTGTGTGCAGAATGTCCCAGGTTTGGTCCCTGGCAGCTCCAGTCAAACAGATCAGGTTGCAGGTGATATGAGAGAGTTTTTCTTCCAACCCTGGAGAGCTGTTGCCAGTCGGTAGACAATACTGACCTCGATAGCCCTGTTATTCTAACACGGCATAAGGTAGCTTCAGTTTGCCAGTTTGGTGTAGTGGTTAAGTGCACAGACTCTAATCTGGGAGAACCGGGTTTGATTCCCTACTCCTCCACTTGCACCTGCTGGAAGACCTTGGGCAAGCTGTAGTTCTGATAAGAGCTGTCCTTGAAAAAGAGCAGTTTCTGTCACTCAGCCTCACCTACCTTACGGGGTGTCTGTTGTGGGGAGGGGGAGGGAAAGGAGTTTGTAAGCTGCTCTGAGACTCCTTTGGGTAGTGAAGGGCGGGGTATAAATCCAATCTCTTCTTCTTCTTCATGTGTGTAGTGCTGAACTAGATGGACACTGATCCAGCAAGTCAGTGTATCCATTCTTAAGAGTTCTGACAATGCTCATTATTAGTGAGAAGGCCATAATTAATTTAAAATACCAATAACTACTTCCAGTCTTAATGGGTGGGACACTTATGCAGGATTGTGACTTCAAGAAAAGAATTTGGGTGCACGTCAAGTTGAGATCAGGGAGAAATATCAACTGAAAATTGAGGCCTGATGGTAGCAGTTGTGCCATAACAATGAAATGGCAGCCAATAACACATTGCTCCTAGTTGAAGTCAAGTAAGCTACTCGGGGACAGTGAAGAAAAGTTCTCGCACGGACCTAAGGAGCTCAGAAGAGTGTAGCTTCCTGATGAAGCCAAAAAGATGATCATTAGAATGTAAGAAGAGCCCTGCCAGTGGATCAGACCAAAGGTCCATCTAGTCCAGCATCCTGTCTCACACAGTGGCCAACCAGGTCTTCTGGAGGGCCAACAACAGGGCATAGAGGCTGAGGCGTTTCCCTGATGTTGCCTCCTGGCACTGTGATTCAGAAGTTGATGGCTTCTGAACGGGGAGGTTCCCTTTAGTTGCTATGACTAGTAGCCATTGATAGCCTTATCCTCCATGAATCTGTCTAATCCCCATTTAAAGCTGTTTATTCCTGTGGCCGTCACTACATCCTCTGGCAGCGAGTTCCACATTTTAAACACTCGCTGTGTAAAGAGGTATTTCCTTTTGTCTGTCCTGAATCTTACTGCCAATCAGCTTCCTTGGATGCCCTCGAGTTCTAATGGTTTGGGAGAGAGATAAAAGTTTTCTTTGTCAACTGTCCACCCCATGCATAATTTTATAAGCCTCTCTCATGTCCCCCTTAGTCATCTCTTTTCTGAACTGAAAAGTCCCGGACTCTTCAGCCTTTTGTCGTAGAGAAGGTGCTCCAACTAACATCATTTTGGTTGCTGTCTTCTGTATTTTCCCCACCTTTGTGATGTCCTTTTTGAGAGATGATAACCAGAACTGTGCATAGTGTTCCAAACAAGGCCGCACCATAGCTCTAAACAGGGACATGATATATTGGCCATTTTATGTTCCATCACTTTCCTAATAATCTCTAAAGTAAAGTCTGCCTTTTCACCACTGCGTTGGCTAGGGGGTGCTGGTGCACAGAATTTTAGTTACAGCTCAGGGATTTTAAGCTTCTGCTCACACTGAGGCATTGGAAATGATGGAGAATGGGGGCATCTCCTTCTGGTGTCTATAGAATTGGACCCCCAGGTCCAATCTTTTTTAAACTTGGGGGTTGGATCAGTTCTCCATTATAGCCTGTGGGGCCCACTGACTATAATGGTCCCCATTGGCTATAATGGAACTGAAAAAAATGATATTGTTTTTTGCACACCTTTCAGTATGATTTGTAAGCTGCCTTGAGTCACAGGGGAAAGTGGGATATAATTATATGAATAAATACGTAGTTTGGGCAGGTTGATGACATTTAAGCAACTTTCTGTTTGTTAGGTTAGGCAGGGTTCTGGCATTGATTGTTCCACCTCTGTTATACTTGACCTGTAAATTTGTCATATTTCACTAAACAAAACCCCAAAGTAGACTGCAAGAGGTTTTCCCTCCTAAGTGCTGGTATGTTTTCTAAGGCTCAGTGCGGGGTGGCAGTCCAAGGCCAGGTCTACCAATATAGTGGACTGTGTCAGCGAGACCTGTTCTCCGGAGGCCAGGTCTATCAACATAGTGGAAAGGGTGGGTAGACCTGTTCTCTCTGAAGACCAGGGGTCATTTCGTAGAAAAAGAGCTAGGGGAACTCATTAGCATAACTCATTAGCATATGCCACACCCCCTGACATAAGGGGCCCGGCGGTGGACCTGCAAGGCCAGCGGGAGTGCGGGCAGGGGTGGGGAGAGGCGAGGAGGAAACAACTTTCCCTCTTCTCCTGCCTCCTCCTGGCTGAATGAGGGCTGGAAGCGGGGCGGCTGGAAGCAGGGGGCGGGGCTTCATCATGTGCCCCGCCCCCTGCACCTCACCCGGGGGAACTGCGTTCCTCCGCGTTCCCCCCCGAAATGACCTCTGCTGAAGACCTTGGGTTCTGATATCAGAGAGTCAACGTGGAATGTTTATTTCAAGAGTTGATAAGTGGAAATTGATAAGAATTGTAATTACTACACACTCAGATAAAGCAATCCTTGTGAAATGGATATTTTTATTGTGCAAAAGTCATTGCATGTGAGCGATAAAAGAAGAGAGTTTCCCACAGAATCATATAATTATTATCGTAAACTATTTTGCATATATATCATTATTGACTCTTCGTTATTTTTGTCACGGATGTTTTGTTTGGATTTCCAACCCTGAGAGGTAGGCTAGTCTGAGAGAGTATGACTGATCCAAGATAGCCAGAAAGCTAGATGGGGATTTTACCTTGCATCCTCCCAGTTTTAGTGCCCCACTCAAATTCTAATACCATGGGAAAGCTCATTTTCTTCACTCTGGCTATGTAACCCAGAGTATTCCTCTAACCCTTGTAGAATGCACAGGAACGGAGTTCTGGCTGGCTTCAGAGTTGGCCATGCCCACTACAGCCCAAACCTCTGCATGCATGGCTACAGAGGGAAGGCCTGGAGAGCGAAATGTTAAGTTATATGTCAGATAGTTAAGTTATAAATAATGCATTGTATGTTGTTTACACCACTAAAAGAAGTGATAGGCCTATAAATTCTGCATATATTTCTGTTTTCCCCAACATTTCTGTAATTTTTTTCTCTGTGGCTTCAGAATTTCCAGAAATTTCACATCTGTCTGTGTTACCCATGACTCCTTCCCCTTTTTGCAATCATGTGTACGTCATTAGTTTCTCAGGCCTCCCTCAGAACATCTTGTATACTGTGGGGGTCAGTCTTGCAAAATTCTCTTCTGCCTGCAGATTCTCACCGAGGGCCACATGTAATTTTGCTTGTACACGTCCACTGTTTACATCAAGTTTTTAAATTTCCTTACAAGACATATAACTAGGAAAAAAAAAACATTGTGTAGCACTGTTCCAACCCAACTCACCAATTAATTATAGTCTGTCAGCTGTAGTGATTTGTTCTCGTGTTTTCTCATTATTATAGTAATTTGGTTTAATTTGATGGGACATCAGTAGAGTGATTTATTATTTTTCCAGTCCCTGAATGGATGTGTTATTTTTATATTTGGAAGAATAAAAGGGTTTCTTGTGCAGCCTCAGACCATAGATGGACATTTCTATAGCTTCTCTATAATGGTTTATTACGTAGTTTGTGCTTTTAGTACCCACTTGTCCTGGATCACTAATTCCCTGACTTTTAAAGCTTCCTATACCTCATTTTTTAAAAAAAAAATAATAATTTTACGGCCTTTTTTAAAGGGATATCTGCCATACTTATTTTATATACACACAGCAGTTGAAACACTACTAATGCTTACAAGCCATTGAGAAAGATGACCAGCAGCTTTGCTCCACCATCTCCACAGTAGCACGGGATGCATGTATATCATGTAACACGGGCAATGTTTTTTTAAAGGTGAAATTACTACAAAATCCCCTAAACTTTAATATGGCTCAAGATTTCCCCCTACAGCATCTGGGATGTTGGACCCCTGGGGTTTACATCAGAATCAGTCATTCCCTCCCATTCCACATTGGACTACCTTACCAAACTTTTTAAAAAATTAAAACAAAAGAAAGCATGTTTGGACAGGACCAACTGTTTGTCAGGGTACTTTAAGGTCGTTAATAGTTGCTTGGCGGGAGGGACTGATAGTCTGGTAATTTTCTGATTGGTAGCATTAGCCTTTGGCAGCAGAGATGGGACTTTACAATGGATTGGCTAAAGCAGCTGGTCAGTCTTAGAGGGGAGGCTGGCTTAGATTCCAATATCCATAGATGTCTAGGAGTTTTGGATCTGTTTTCATCACTGTTGGACCCACATGAATTTGGTTACCATAGGGTGGTGCTTTTTGGAATTGAGATATACTAGAAGTTTTATCCAATGCAGGTTTACCCTCATCCCCATTTTTGCTTTGTGTTGTTTTTTTTACAGAAAGCTATAGACATTGCTAGCAAAGCAGCGCAAGAGGACAAAGCAGGCAACTTCGAGGAAGCCCTCCACTTGTATCAGCATGCTGTGCAGTATTTCCTCCATGTTGTCAAATGTAAGAATCGCTGTACTAAATATGAAAAGCTTTATTTGGTTGGTTAATAATCTTAATGTTCTTGGTCGTTAATGCCACCTCACGTCCAGGGAGATAAGGCAATATAAAAATGTTTTAAATAAATGAATAAAATGTTGGTTGTTCATTTATATCGCCCTTCCTTCGTGGAGCTAGAGCTGACCTGTGTAGAATTCCCAGGAGGTCCCCCCCAGGTAGGCAGTGGCCAGGCTTTTAGCTGTCCAGTAAGGCTCCCACATCCTACGCTCTCGAACCCTCTCCTGGGGCTCAAATAAGACATTGTGGCGTTGATGTATTCAGGGCTTTAATAAAACTCTATAATTCTGTAGGTTTGTGCAAGAAATCCATGTGTCGACCAAAGTCTTGCTATGATGAAAGACTAAAGATTTCTGCTAGGAGCAGGAGACCTCTACCGTTCTGACTTTCAGATTATAGAAATTCTCAGAATGCTTAGTTGAAGCAAACCTGTAGAATTTAAGAACTCGTATCATGGTGCTGGAGAAGACTCTTGAGAGTCCCTTGGACTGCAAGAAGATCAAATCAGTCCATCCTAAAAGAAATCAACCCTGACTGTTCCCTGGAAGGCCAGATAATGAAACTGAAGCTCAAATACTTTGGCCACCCAATGAGAAGGGAGCACTCCCTGGAGAAGACCCTGATGCTGGGAAAGATTGAAGGTCAAAGAAGACGGGGACGGCAAAGGATGATATGGTTAGATAGTGTCATAGATGCAACGAACATGAAATTGAGCCAACTTCAGAGGACGGCGGAAGACAGGAGGGCCTGGTGTGATCTGGTCCATGGGGTCGCGAAGAGTCGGACTCGACTGTGCGACTGAACAACAACAATCATGGTTAGCATGTTGGAGGACTGAGACCAGGAAGAACCACTCAAGGATGACATTCACCGCGTGGTTTTGGATCAGTTGCTCTAACCCTATCTCACAGAATAGCTCTGAATGCGGAAATAGAAGAGAAGGTGTATAATGCATGGTGCCCTGAGCTCCCTGGGGGGAGGGCTGGGTCAAAATGAGATAGAATAAAAATTGTGTTTCGAGGGAGACCTTATCTTAAAACTGTATTACTACATTAGACAGAAAGCTTTGTAGATCCCTCTGCCCGGCTCCCAGCTGTGAAAGTGGGTCAGACCTCCTTGTTTTCTTTGTGTGCAATCTTTTATCTACTCTCTTGGCAAGTGCGATCTGGAAATCTTTGTTGGGGGGGGGGCACCTTTCCTCTTTTCTTTGCTTGAATGGCTGGTTAGTCGTACCCCAAATGGTTTCTAGGTGTGATTTAAACCAAGGTACGGGATTTGAGTGTTCGACCGCTTTTGAATCGTCTGCCCATTGATGCACTACCTGTTGATGCACTAGACAACGACGATTAGACAACAGGTACAATTTTTGAGGCTTTTTTTTAAAGAAAGAAAAGATGCAACTCATGATTTTCTCATTCCCAGATGAGGCACAGGGCGACAAAGCAAAACAAAGTATCAGAGCAAAGTGTACTGAGTATCTGGACAGAGCAGAAAAGCTGAAGGAGTATTTGAAAAAGAAAGAAAAGGCGGCTCCAAAGCCAGTGAAAGAATCTGGTCCAGCTGATGAGAAGGGGTATGTTAATTTCACTTATTCCAGCATTTTCCCAATTTGCTTACCTATTTCAGCGCCTTGAGTGGCGATAGAACATTACTTGAAAGATTCGTCTTAGGGTAAGGCATACTTTTTGGTGTGTTCTGGCTTTAACTTACATTCTGTATTGTGTTCTCAGGACTGATGGTGATTATGGTTTTTCCTGACACTTCCAGATACGTTGCTGTTTCATCAACACTTTTCTTTACATTGCTCAGGGATCTGTTCAGGCATTATGTCCCAGGAACAATTCTCAACCTGGTATGATACTTGCAGGCCCACCATGATAAACTGATGGGCTGTGCCACATTTATTTGAAGATGACATCTGTCATTCATTCTGGGGACAGATTAGATTTCAGGGCGGCTGTATTTCAGAATGGGTACAGCCCACTCGCCTTTTGTTATGATGAGAATAAGGGGTGCTCTCGAATTCAAGGTTCCTCCCCTCCACGAATGCCCAAGGTTTCATATTATTAAATTCATATGCCACCTCTTGCTGCCAAGCAGTCTCAAAGTGGCTAACTAAAATATTAACAGACAATCATTAAAAACATAATAACTAAACTAAAAGGCAGCCCACATAAACAAACTTGACTAACGAAAAGCTAAATGGAAGAGCTCTGGTTTGCAGGCCCTGCGGAACTTAGATAAGTCCTGCAGGCAACACTCCCTCTAAGCTGTGGAGTCTTGTGAGCAAAAATTCTACTTGGTGAGCTGCTGGCATTAAAGTTGTGAGCGAGCGATTTGGCTACTGCATAAATTAGTTTGCTCTGGAGCCATCCTTCCTGAGCGAAGGCAAGAATGTGTGAGCCGGAGGCTGAAAAACCGTGAGCTAGCTCACACTAACTCAGCTTAGAGGGAACACTGCCTGCATAACATCTGACAGCTGGTTCCACCAGGAGGGGGCCACCACAAAGAAGGCCCTCATCCTGGTAGATGCCAGGCAAACATCCCAGGGGCCAGGCACCATAAGCAGGTTGTGGGTTGAACAACACATATTCCGGGTGGCGGGGACACGTCTGAAGAGGTGGTCTGCCAGCCGTGAAGATCCTAGACTGTTTAGGGCTTTAAAGGTGATCACCAGCACTTTGAATTTGACCCAGAACTCAGTCGACAGCCAGAGTTCAGCTGTTTCAAGGCAAGATCTCTCCAAGAAGAGTCTGTCAGCAGTGTTGTCGCTGCTTTCTGGACTGCCTGTAATTTCTGGGGAGCCTTCGGGGCAACCCTACATCAAGCGCATTACAGTAGTCTATGCGGGAGATGACCGTGGTATGAATGGTCCAAAATTAAGATCTTCATCCCTGTAGCAGGAGCTTTCTTAGCTGTAAGCATCGGAATACTTACTCAGTAAAGGTAAAGGTTCCCTTGCTCGAAAGCCAGTCGAATCCGACTCTAGGGATGCGGTGCTCATCTCCGTTTCCAAGCCGAAGAGCCAGCGCTGTCCGAAGACGTTTCCGTGGTCATGTGGCCGGCATGACTAGACACCGAGGCGCGCGGAACGCTGTTACCTTCCCACCAAAGTGGTACTTATTTATCTACTTGCAATTTCTTGCTTTCGAACTGCTAGGTTGGCAAGAGCTGGGGCCAGAGACGGGAGCTCACTCCGTCATGCGGCAACCCGGGTCTCGAACTGCTGAACTACTGACCTTCCACAGCCTGCAGTTCAGCGTCAATCAAACTTGCCTTACTCAGCACGTTGAAGAGAGGGGCTCCAAGGACTTTTGTTTTACTGTGTGCATTTGGTACAAATATATGACGTTTCTGCTTTTTACAGTCCATATCTGTGGTGCTGAGACTTTTCCCGTTCTTTGTATTTCATGAACTTTGATTCCAAATTAGGAACGACAGTGATGGGGAAGGAGAGTCAGATGACCCTGAGAAAAAGAAGTTGCAGAACCAACTACAAGGTAGTTTCACGTCAAGCTCTTTGTGTCTTTACCAGAGTCGTTCTCTCAGACGATCAGGCTGAACATCACATATGGGGGTCTAGAAAGTAACATTATCTGGAGGGTTTTTAAAAAAATGCTTGTTATGCTGCACCCTATGAACAGAGCATATTATCAAAATGATAGCTGGGCCGAATTTAGTCCTGTAAAGCCTTGGAGATGAAAAGGTAGTTTTCAGAGGGTGTGTGCTGAGCTCCTCTGAAACAAAAACAGAATAATTTGGGGTGGGTGGGAGGCAGGCCAGTGTTTTGCTTCTCCTGCTGTTTTTGTGCTCTCCCCCCCCCCCCCCCGCGGGGGGCCCCGCCCCCCCCTGCCGCTCCTGCTGATCACAGTAAGCAAGATGACTGGTCAGATTTGTCTGGGTACATCACACAGAATAAAGGAAGCTGTATTGAAGTGAAGAAGAAGTACTTCTTCACCCAAAGAGTGATTAACACATGGAATTAACTGCCACAGGAAGTGGTGGCGGCTACAAGCACGGACGGCTTCAAAAGGGAATTAGATAGGCATATGGAGCAGAGGTCCATCAGTGGCTATTAGCCACAAGGTATAGATAGGGGCTCTGGGGCAAGTGATGCTCTGTCATCTTGGTGCTTGGGGGGGGGGGGTCAACAGTGGGAGGGCTTCTAATGTCCTGGCCCCACTGGTGGACCTCCTGATGGCACCTGGTATTTCTGGCCACTGTGTGATACAGAGTGTTGAACTGGATGGGCCTTTGGCCTGATCCAACATCGGCATCTCTTATGTTCTTATGCTGGATGGGGGGTGGGGGCAGGGTGTATGGAGACATACCCACTGCAAAGGCAATAAGACAACCTGCCATAAGGACATCTTTGTTGCTTCTTGGTAATGAAAGAAGCTTGGAAGAGCATGGCCCAGTTGCGTCAGCAATGCAACAATTGCCTCTGCAATCCCTCTCTCGCTGTTAGAAGCAGTAGAATCATCTATGTGGAAAGGCAGGGAGGATCATCTAGTTGGCTTGTTGATGTGGATATGCATTCCTTTCTCTCCCACCTCTGTTCATGAAAGATCACCTTGCTGGGCTCAGAAGGCTCTTTCACAGAAAATATTCCCTGTTTGAGCTCACCGCTAATCCATTCTTTGTCAATTTTTTTAACGTAACAAAAAGAAATGCGGGCATTATCGTTTATTAGATGAAATGTTGCAGCACATGTCTGCATTTGGGTCATATTAGTATATCTGTTGGCAATGCTGTGTAGCTTCATCACTTTAGACGCAAGCCTGCATTTTGCAAAATCCAAGTGCATGTAGAGGCCCTTCCTTTGTAAACAGGAATGGTTAGCTGTCCAGACTGTAATACGGATAGGACTTATGCGAGTTAGAAATCAGTAGAGATCTCTTTTCTCATTTGTCCATTTCTCGTTCTTTTGAGAACTTTTATGGCTGTTCTCCAGGGAGCCTGCATGAGGCAGTTAAAAAAAAGTAAGCAAAAGCTTAGCCACGGCATAAAAACACAGGGCACAGAACAGCTTAAAATGAATGTAACAGTTTTTGGACTGAAAGCACTCTATAGAATGGTGTGAAAAGATCAATCTCTTAATTATCATGCTAGTCAAATGGTGTATTTATTTCATGTTCTGGTGTGTGTGTTTCTTTAAATGTTTAGTGTGACTGCAGTAATGTAAGGAGAATGATAGAGGGAGATCAGTGTGATGTGATTGGCTGATGACAGAGTGTGGGAAGAGAGATGTCTCTACTAGGTTACTGTGTGTGTGTGTGTCTTGGGAGAAACAAGTGTGGAGAGTTTTGTGAGAGAGTCTGTATGGCAGAAGAAGCAAGTTGAGTCTATCCTGTGTGGATAAGACAAATGGTTTATCTTGTGTGCCTAAAACAAAGAGTTTCGCCTGTGTGGCTATAGATAAGAGAGAGAGCTTAGACTGTGTGTCTAAGGCTGTCAGAGTGGAGTTTTGGTGTTTGAGAGACTGTGTTTGATGCCAAGCTTTGCCAGTTATATTTACAAGTTCCTTTCTTCAATAACAGTTCAGAAATACCCAGAAACCTATTTTGTTCTTTTATAAATAAATCATTATTTGTTTAAACTTATCCCAGAAATCAGAACAGTCCTTCCTTAGGGCCACATAGTCTTCTGAAGTGCCCAGACCCTGGGTCATTCTACCAGAATTGAGAGATTTGGATTTTTTAATTCCTGGTGGCAGCAGAAATCTACCAAGTTCATGTACACAAGAGTGTGTTTTAAAGGAGAAACAGTCTCCCCAATAAGCAGGATGCCCCGAGTGGTATGTCACAGTCATACTGCATAGGACCAAGGCTAGTCCACCCAGGAGCATTTGGTGTATTTTTTTTGGGGGGGGGGATTTTTTTAGTATTTTCTGTGTGTGTCTGCACCTGGAAGTCATGTTGACCTCTGGTGACTGACCCCTACTGTGTGCCTGGAGGATATTCAGAGAGGTGGCTGAATAAAGCCTGCCTCTCTTCTCCCGACTTGCTATACCAAGGAGGTCTCCCATCTAAGCACTAACCACAGTCGACCCTGCTTAGCTTCTGAGATCTGACGAGATCGAGTTTGCCTGGACTATCCAGGTCAAGGCTGCCCAGGAGCATTTGAGTGGGACTCTTCCAATCACAGCTAGAGAGTCATGGGAGTCAGCAGATATGGAGCTCTGGCAAGACACAGCCTGTGCCCCCCCCCACCCCCCAACGTGTTCTCATTTTCACGTCTAAGGAGGAGTGGATCTTTCTCAACCCTCAACCGTCTTCTTTCACAGGCGCCATCGTCATGGAGCGGCCAAATGTCAACTGGAGCGATGTGGCTGGCTTAGAGGGAGCAAAGGAAGCGCTTAAAGAGGCAGTCATATTGCCTATTAAATTCCCACACCTTTTCACAGGTAAAAGCAGTTAAGGTCTATTTGGCTTGTTAGTTAATGGTCTTATTTTTGTCTTCTGCCCCCCCCCCAGGTGTTCAGTTCAATATTTTATGTCATAACTGTAACATGACGGTAGCAATATTAACATAATACAATATAATAGAATACCGTGTTTCCCCGAAAATAAGATATTGTCTTATATTTATTTTTTCTCAAGAAGACACACTAGGGCTTATTTTCAGGGGATGTCTTATTTTTATTAAGTATAATACAACAATCTACATTTATTCAAATACAGTTAAGTCATCTTCTGGAACATCGTCATAACTTTCATCACTAGGTCTTATCGGGGTAGGGCTTATACCACAAATGCATAGAAATCCTGCTAGGGCTTATTTTTTGGGTAGGTCTTATTTTCAGGGAAACAGGGTATAACCATAACACACTAATAATTAAGCCTCTCATAGTAGTCTGCTGCCTTTTGAGTAAAATCCTCAAGGGTCTGGGTGGCGTTAGGTTGTTCTGAAGCGGCTGTTAATGCAGGATGTGGAACAAAAGTTGTAGAGTGAGTTCAGTGGGAGGCTGGCGCAAATAAAGCAGGCGAGTGGTAATTCAGTCACGGAAGTGGCTGGCTTCCCGACATGTGCCTGTTTGTTTTCATGGAAAAGGTGATTACTCTTAATTACAGTCATTCTGCATACGTGCAGCGGTTGTGGTTACAGCAGATATTGCCACACTGTTGGCTTCGTTTAATATTCCAGCATGCCTTTGGACTGGTTCCTGCTGCAGTGTGTAGGAGTACCAGTCTTGATCTGTAGCACTTTTGCCACGTGTCCACGATACTGATATCGAAGGGCCGTGGTCTGACTGTTGGGTCACACAGGACAACCAGATGTTTCTGGTCGTCCTTGTGACAGGCGTAGGAGGTTGTGAAGGCTGTCTGCCAAACACGCTGTTGCAATTAAACTTAACACAAGCTGGCAATTGCATAGAGGTCCTCCAAGAAATTATTATAGGGCTGTTCTCGTAAGCCATTTAGAAGATGGTGAAAGGACTGGTGGGGGATAGTAGGGTGCATTGAACGAAGACGTTGCTGTAGGTAGGTTGAATTAGGACAACTGGGAAAGACGCTCTCTTCGGCACTTGAACTGTGTGTTTTGGTGAATGGGGGGGGTGCACGTGTGATGCTTCAGAAGTCTCTTAACCCCTCAGAGAGTATTTGGTCATTGAGTGTGTTGTTTCTTGCCGGCTCACGTGTAATTCTTATACATTGCCCAAGCAGACTCCTAAATGTACTTGGGGTGCTCAAGGCTCATGTCAGAAACCTGGGGAATTTGTCATCTCCACAGTCACCTCTGAATGTGGTTGGCAGACGCTTTGGGTCGGATCCAGCCAGCCTTTTCACTCCATCTCATCTGAGTCTCCTCTTTCCCCCAAGCCCTGCTTCCGTATGGCTTTTGTATATGCTGGCCTCCAGCATAGTCTTCTGGGCAGTCCTCCCTTTCTCGCCAGCAGAAATGCTGGTTGGACCCGGCCTGTTACCTGTACTGTCTGAACTACCTGTCTGCGTACTTGGGTTTCCATAGAGAGGGGATCCAGTGCTCTGAGCTCTAGTCTAGACAGATACATATGCAATTAGTTAAAAAGGTAAAGGTTCCCTTGCTCGAAAGCCAGTCGAGTCCGACTCTAGGGTTGCGGTGCTCATCTCCGTTTCAAAGCCGAAGAGCCAGCGCTGTCCGAAGACGTTTCCGTGGTCATGTGGCCGGCATGACTAAACACCAAGGAGCACGGAACGCTGTTACCTTCCCACCGAAGTGGTACCGATTTATCTACTTGCAATTTCTTGCTTTCAAACTGCTAGGTTGGCAGGAGCTGGAACTAGAGACGGGAGCTCACTCCGTCATGCGGCACCCGGGTCTCAAACTGCTGAACTACTGACCTTTCACAGCCTGCAGTTCAGCTTCTTAACCACTTGAGCCACCGCAGCTCCTATGCAATTAGTTATCCAACTCTGGGTAGGTGCTGGCAGAAATATAGTTTTCTGCTGAGGGATCCTTGGTGAAAAGTTGGCATAGATCGCCCGGTTTGGTACAACTTTTCAGATGCGTGTTCATCTCCCCGGAGACCCGTTCGAAAGCACCCTGTGTGAGGTTGGGGTTTTTTTAAATATGGGAAATGGCCCTTCAGTAGTTACTGGAGTAGGACTCTGCTTTGTATCCTACTCTGTACCAAGCTGAGTAGGGCAATTCACTTTTTAAAATACGCTTTTATGAATTAGAAACAGAAAAGATATGTTGGGATAGACTCAGCCAGCTTTTCTGCTGGTGGACAAGGAAGGAGGGGTCCTTTTCGATCGCCCAAAAAGACTATGCCTGGAATTGTGAACCCGCATGGACAAAAGTCATGTGCGATGGGACTGCCGTAAGGAGAGAACTTGGTTGAGTAAGTGGAAAAGATGGTTGGGTCCAGCCCACTATTGAGATACCAGTGGCCAGCAATGTTCCCTCTAAGCTGTGGTGTCTTGTGAGCAAAAATCCTACTCTGTGAGCTACTGGCATTAAAGTTGTGAGCAAGCGATTTGGCTACTGCATCAATTAGTTTGCTCTGGAGCCATCCCTTCCTGAGCTAAGACAAAAAAATCTGTGAGCCGGAGGCTAAAAAACTGTGAGCTAGCTCACACTAACTCAGCTTAGAGGGAACACTGGTGGCCAGTAAGGAATCTTAAGAACAGTCATAGAATGTGATAAGATCTGAAGGAGTAAATAGGTTGGACCATATGATACACTAATAGAACGCAGATATGTCCTTGTTCTAGCTGTTGGTACCAGCCACAATTAAATTGCATTGGCGTATGAAACTAGGTTGTTTCTGTATTCCCTCTTCACCTTACTTGTGCAGTTTGATCTTAAGGTTGGCCTGGCGGTTTGAACAGGCTTCCGTCTGCTGTGTCACCTGAGCGCAGTCAAGTCTGACGGAACCATGGAGTTTTTAAATCAAGCTCTGTGTTCGAGAAAAGAAGGCAGACACCAAAAACGTTATGAGCAGTGCTGGTGCAGTTAACTGCAGCTTGTCCTGATGTCTGATTTGCAGCCACTAATCCTAGCAGAAAACTCAAGTCTGGATACACTGAAATTTTCTTACTGCTAGCCTTTTCTCTGTGATGCAGTTACCTGTTTTCCAATGACTACAGCTGTTACGCTGATGGAACACATCTGTAATTTTCCGTCTTTTACTGTTGCTGCAATGCATATTCATAAAATTAACAAATAGATATGAAACTTGATGAAAAGGTTCAGTAAAACTGACCTCATTTTTTCCAGATGAATAAATTCAGTAAATTGAGCTATTTGAGCTACTTTCCTTGGCGTCCATTCAGAAATAGACTCGAGAAAAGTCCAGTGACAGGTCTTGGCAACTATGATCTTTGTGGCAGTCAGAAGATTCCAGGTCCTGCTTTTGTAACCTGTTCTGTTCCAAGCTGAGTAGGGCAATTCCATAAGCAATTTGTTTTCTCTTGGGTTTTTCTTTCAGGGAAGAGAACCCCTTGGAGAGGGATTCTTTTGTTTGGACCTCCGGGAACAGGAAAGTCATACTTGGCAAAAGCTGTTGCAACAGAAGCTAACAATTCTACTTTTTTCTCCGTGTCATCTTCTGACCTCGTCTCAAAATGGTTGGGGGAGAGTGAAAAGTAAGTATTTCACCTTGTTAATTCTTCAAACGTCAGAGGTTTTAAACTCTGAGCCTGCGTGTATACCTTAATTTATCTTATTTGTTTGCTTAAAGCATGTCGATGCTGCCTTTTGACCTGACTCAGAGTCCCCGAGGCAGTCCTCCTCCCCTTACTTTCTTCACTGTTATGTTCATACCATAAATAAAGGTTAATTTCTTGTTTTGTTTAACCCTATGTGCTGTGTGTCCTGGGGAACACATAAGTTAATATCTCAATATACATTTGTATTATAGGATATGAATAAATGTTGGCAGCATGTGAGTGGAACGATGTTTGAGGCCCAACCCCAATAACTGTGCGAGTGGTTATAAAAGGTGTTCTTTTGGTATCTGATGACGTACCAGACTCTTGATTGCAAAGAGTCGAGCCTTGGGAAATGCCTCATCGTTTGAACTATGACAATAAATTAAAATAGCTGCTCCTCAAAGATTGAACAAGTGCTGAATGCACAGGTTTTCTACCCTCAGATTAAATTATGCATTTCTAATTTTTTCTTTCATGATTACCTGATGTTAATTGGCACAGTTGTTTCTTTGGCTCAGCTCTGCACAGGAATTGCAGTGCTGTTCAGGTGTGGCCCACGTGTGTGAAACCTGGGATAGTAAGGGCTGTGGTGGGAATGGGATGAGGAGAAAGAAGAGCAGTTTAAAGGGGTTGGCTGGGCTGAGAGAAAGGGCAACAAGCGACAGTTGAACTTGGAGAATTCTATACCCCGCCTGCTTTACGATAATGCCAACTCTGTCAGCTATGCTGCCATGGGGGTTGGGATGTTCAGTCGGAGTCTGTGTAAATTGCTTTCGCATTCCTGTCTCTGCTTTGCACCGAAACGCTTATCTCTAAAGATGTGCAGGTGGGGGGGGGGTGTTGTCTGCCTTTCCAGGCAGCCGTGGGAGCCGGACAGTTCCCAGCTTTGCCTAGAAACAGTTTGCTGGCTTTAGCCCGCGCGCGGGAGGGTGCCTAATTGGCCAACGCAGCGGGGGGGGGGGGAGTTGCATACGAATGCCCTATATCTGCCATTCTTAACAGTGACTATGTTAATGCATCTATAGCTCTACAATAAAAGTATAACCTTTCCTGAAAGTGTGTACTCCATTGTTGGCTGTGGGTTCTGACACGCTCATGCATATAAATTCTGCTGTAGTGCAACTGCCAAGCATTTTGTTCTTCAGTTACATGTTTGAATTGCAGAGTTTCCTGGAATTTCTAGTTAATGGTATGTGAGTGATCAACGAAAAGCTTGAGTAAGAACGAAGAACCACATTATACAAGTCCTGACAAATGAAATGGGTGGCCAAAGAGCATTTCTTGTGTGGAATGAAGCAAAAACCGTGAGGGTGCAACCGGGGGGGGGGGGGGGTCACCAGCAATGCCACTGATGTCCCTTCCTGCATGACTGAAAATGATGTCAGCAGTTCACCAAAAACACTAGCATTTGGCCAAGCTCTGTGATTTAACCGTAGAGTATTGCCGAAATGTTAGAGGGTCACTGGTGACACACTGTCGCCTCTGGTTGCACAGGAAGTGATGTCAGTGTGTTGGGGCGCTGGCTTTCACTGCCATTTTCCTACCACCTCTGCTCTGCTGAGATGCCCCACCACTAGTGGGAAAACCCTAGTTGGTGACCCATATTGAGGAAGGCATAATGTTCTGTATTACTATAAACTCTCAACTCATGTAAGAACTGCAACTCTTTCACAGGTTAGTGAAGAATCTGTTTCAACTTGCCCGAGAAAACAAGCCTTCCATTATCTTCATTGATGAAATTGATTCTTTGTGTGGTTCCAGAAGTGAAAATGAAAGTGAGGCCGCTAGACGGATTAAAACAGAGTTTCTAGTTCAGATGCAAGGTAAGATTATGACTCTCCAGGCATGGCTAAAAATATCAGCTTTCCTGCAAGAAACAGCATGTGTTAGATGACCCAGTGTTCCCTGTAGGCTTAAATCATTTTAACACCAGTAGTCTTGTATGGAGTCCCATGCTGTTCTTTATTTAAAAGTCATAAAGTGATGGACACTGATTTTAAATTTACTCATTCCAATTTAGGAGTTGGAGTAGACAATGATGGAATTTTAGTTCTGGGAGCTACAAATATACCTTGGGTTCTAGATTCTGCCATCAGAAGAAGGTAATGTATAACACTACTTTATCCTACAACTCAATCCCACATATTGGCACCTGGCTTTTAGAGCTCTCAGGCCAGGAGCATCAGTACGAAATGACGGGGCTCTTTTTTTATAACTAGGACTTGGATAGTTTTGTTCCACTCTGCAGGCATAAAATAGTACTCTTCAGGGGTCATTTCGTAGAAAAAGAGGTGCAGGAGCTCATTAGCATAACTCATTTGCATATGCCACACCCCCTGGCATCACCGGAAGTGTGTCAGAAGGCAACACCCACCGCTCAGGCTCCACTGGACTGTTTTGGATTGCTAGCTATTGGGGGGGGGGGACACACGTGCAGATCTGTCCTCGCAGAGGAGGGAGAGCTTGTACCTGAATAAAACTCGGTCTTAAAGGTGCCACTGGACTGTTTTGGACGGGAGGGAGGAGGGCTCTGCAACTTACCTGACTGCTTCTTGCTCTGACTGAGGGCTGCTGGGAGCAGGGGGTGGGGCTTGTTGCATGTGCCCGCCCCCTGGGCTCTTTACTGCCGGAGCTCCGCTCCTGTGCGCTCCTGCAGGAAATGACCCCTGGTACTCTTGACTTCTGATGGCACAAGTTCCTTGCATTTCTGCCTTCATAGGAATGGGCTTCCAAACACTGTATTTTATAAATGAAGTGTTACCCCAGTAGAATTAATGGCAAGTTATGTGAGTATTGCTTATTCTTACCAGGAGCCAGCATGGCGTAGTGGTTAAGAGTAGCAGACTCAAATCCTGGAGAACTGGGTATGATTCGCAACCCCTCCACATAAAACCTGCTGGGCGACCTTGGGGCAGTCCCAGTTCTCTTAGAACTCTCTCAGCCCCACCTACTTCATAAGGCGCCTGTTGAGGGGAGAGAAAAGGAAAGACGACTGTAAGCCGCTTTGAGACTTGTTAGGATAGAGAAAAGAGAAGAAGAAGAGATTAAGAAGAGATTGGATTTATACCCCGCCCTTCACTTGGAGTCTCAGAGCGGCTTACAAACTCCTTTCCCTTCCCCTCCCCACAATAGACACCCCGTGAGGTGGGTGGGGCTGAGAGAGCTCTTGACAGAAACTGCTCTTTTTCAAGGACAGCTGTGCCAGAGCTTGTGACTGACCCAAGGTCACCCCAGCAGGTACAAGTGGAGGAGTGGGGAATCAAACCCTGTTCTCCCAGATTAGAGTCCGCGCACTTAACCACGACACCAAACTGGAAAAGAGGGGTATAAAATCTGTTCTACGGAGAAGAGAGAAAAGTCAAGCGGAAAGAAAATGCTTGTAACATGCACACTGAATGTTGTCTGATTGAACAAGGCATTGTCCTATCAGTGTCCTGTCATTTACATGTTGATAACATGTTTTACGTGCGTTGGTGGAAACAGGAGGACACTCTAGTTAACTGGTTCCCAAAGTGGGCAGTACCACCCCCTGGGGGGTGCTGGAATGATCCAGGTGGGCTGGAACGATCCAGGTGCAGATCCACAAACTGCATCTTTTTGTCCACTTCTTGAAGGCAGATTTCCAGGGCGGTTGAGTAATTATTTTTTTCTGAAAAAGGGGGCAGTAGGCCAAATAAGTTTGGGAACCTCTAGCCTAATTGAGGTGTTGTTGCGTAGAGTGTGCTTGTTCTCAGCAAGCCCAAATAACTTTATGCTTGCAATATGGTGTGAGTGCTTCCAAAAAACCTTGCCAAGCTTGGCTGTGCAATCTGTTACATCAACAGTGTTAACATTTCATTTTGTTCATTGTAAAGATTTTTTTTTTAAGTTGCAGAAGGCTTCCTTTTTCTACCTAATTCTGCTGGACAGGCAAACCTGAGTTTGTATAGGTGGTGCAGGACTGTCCTCAGTATTTGACATTTTGGCCTCTCTTCCCCTATCAGGTTTGAGAAACGCATTTACATTCCTTTGCCTGAGGACCATGCCAGAACAGCCATGTTTAAGCTTCATCTGGGGTCCACAGCCAACAGTTTGAACGAATCAGATTATCGAGAGCTCGGAAAACGAACGGATGGCTATTCGGGTGCCGATATAAGCGTAATCGTACGAGATGCCCTGATGCAGCCTGTTAGGAAAGTTCAGTCAGCCACACACTTTAAAAAAGTGAGTAAATGAACCTCTCTCTTTTTTCCCTCCCATTACAATCATTCTCTTGATTATTTTTGTGCTGTTCCTTGGAATCCATTACATCTTTTTTTTCCCCCCCCTTCCTTTAAAAATGGCAAAATTGACAGCCGGGCTATAACGGATTACTGCAACTGTTTTATTTTAAAGACCTCAGATTTATTACATAGGACCAGTCTCGTGCTAACTGGCATTCGGCTGTGCCAGCTGCTGTGACCAGTGCGAGCTAGCTCGCAGTTTCTTTAGCCTCCGGCTCCCACGTTTTTGTCTTCGCTCAGGAAGGGATGGCTCCAGAGCAAACTAATTTTTGCAGTAGCCAAATCGCTCACTCACAACTTTAAGGCCAGGAGCTCACAAAGTAGAATTTTTGCTCATGGGACTCCGCAGCTTAGAGAGAGCCTTGGCTGTGACGGGCCCGAAAGTGGCTCGTTCCTTTGGCCCATAGCCAGAAGTCTTACGGTCTGGGGGCATGAGCATGCTAAGGAGAGGTACGGTCGCTAGGTTCCCAAATCAATGTTCCCTCTAAGCTGTGGAGTCTTGTGAGCAAAAATTCTACTTTATGAGCTACTGGCACTAAAGTTGTGAGCAAGTGATTTGGCTGCTGCATAAATTAGTTTGCTCTGGAGCCATCTTTCCTGAGCTAAGACAAAGATGTGTGAGCTGGAAGCTAAAAAACTGTGAGCCAGCTCACACTAACTCAGCTTAAAGGGAACACTGGTTTCCCATCACTGCGTGGAGCCCGGTGACATAATGGGTGAGGATCCAGTGATGTCAGCTAGTGGGATCCGCTGACCTCATGTCTCATGGGCCAGTGATCTTATGGTTTTGTGCCACGTGATGAAGCTTGTTAGGCTGAAGAGGTGGGTTTCAAAACTGCTGGGAGCAGGGGGCGTAGAGGCGATGGCAGTTCATCACTGCTTCGGTAACTGGATTGGGAGGTGACTCAGCTGCCTGTGGACTGTTTTTCCACCCTGGAAATTATCCCCTACCCGGTAGGTCGGTCGGTTACTGTGCAATGAGGGAGCATGTGCAGAGGATTTGCAGTCTCAGTATTTGGAGAGTTGATTGTTGATGGCTCAGATTTACGTAGGCCGAAGGTGCGCGCTCTGTAGCTTTTGGAGAGGCACATTTGCAATTACCCTAACCCAGAAAGAGCCCACATGACTCTTGTGTACGCCCTGCGCACCACCCCAACACACACACACACACAATAACTGAAGGTGTAACTATTACTATTAAACATATAACCATAACTATAACCTTTTTTAATTACCAGATTCCTGAGCAGGTCGGGTTGTTTCTCCCTGCCACTTGTTAAATACTTTGCCAGTCCCTGTGTTGTCTGGAGCGATGGGACGGGCTTCTTTCTCTGCCTTCTTGCTCTCTCCTCCGCATGAGGCACACAGGAGCTCAACTTCCATCTCCGGCACAAAGCCCACAGCTTAGGGGTTTCCCCCCGCCTAGCCATCCTCCAGTGCCTCTGACAGTGGCTGTTTCAAGGTATGAGCCGCCGGCCTGCTGAAACATGGGTAGGATTGCCGGTTTGACCTGGAGAAAAGTGCTCTGTCCTTTAATAGAGGCTTAATGGGTGTTGTTTTCAAGGTGGCATTCTTTACCTCTGTGCCACAAAAAGCATTGGCTGCCGATTTCCTTGTATTAAGCCTCTATCAAAGGGAGGAGGTGACTTTTCCCTGGGCCTCTTGGCAACCTCGAGATTGCCACACTCGGGCGGGGGCCACTCTAGGAGAACAGCACTCAGAAGGGCCACAGGTGCCTCCCACGGTTCTGTTTTAGATCCTCCTTGAAACCCTTGTGCTTCTGTAGCGAGAGGCAGGGCAACTTAAGATTGCCTGTACGTTGCACTCCTTCAGCCCTTTCGACTTGTGCAGTAAGAAAGTCCTTGTTGCAGTGTGTGAGTCTACCCCTGGGCATTACGCCTCCTCAGTCCTTTAGCTCTAACCCCACATTTTTGGGATAGGCAAAGGCAGAAGGTTGACAGGGATTATTCACCTGTGAGTAGAGAGCATCCTGCCGATGCTCAGACACACAGACTCCTTGACCCCAGCAAGCTACAGCAAAGTGGCTTGTAACTGATTACAAACAGACTCCCGGCTGAGTGGAATTAGACATTTATTTTTCTGCCTCATGGTGGGTTAACTGGCAGATCCTAACCAGTGTAGATTCAGGTGGGTAGCTGCGTTGGTCTGAAGTAGTAGAACAAACTTTGAGAAGAAGAAGAAGAGATTGGATTTATACCCCACCCTTCACTACCCAAAGGTGTCTCAGAGGGGCTTACAAACTACTTTCCCTTCCCCTCCCCACAACAGACACCCTGTGAGGCTGAGAGAGCTCTTGACAGAAACTGCTCTTTTTCAAGAACAGCTCTTATCAGAACTACGGCTTGCCCAAGGTCATCCAGCCAGGTGCAAAGGGAGGAGTGGGGAATCAAACCCGGTTCTCCCAGATGAGAGTCCGCGCACTTAACCACTACACCAAACTGACTTTGAGTCCAACAAAGCTTAATTCTGGGCATAAGCTTTCGTGCACAGTGCACTTCATCATGTATCTGAAGATGTGTTGTTGTTCAGTCGCACAGTCGAGTCCGACTTCGCGACCCCATGGACCAGATCCCGCCAGGCCTTCCGGTCTTCCGCCGTCCTCTGAAGTTTGCTCAATTTCATGTTCGTTGCATCGATGACACTGTCTAACCATCTCATCCTCTACCGTCCCCGTCTTCTTTGACCTTCAATCTTTCCCAGCATCAGGGTCTCCTCCAGTGAGTGCTCCCTTCTCATTGGGTGGCCAAAGTATTTGAGCTTCAGTTTCATTATCTGGCCTTCCAGGGAACAGTCAGGGTTGATTTCTTTTAGGATTGACTGATGTGTGCATGCACACAAAAAGCTTGTGCCCAGAATTAAACTTTTTTGGTCTTAAAGGTGCCACTGGACTCAAACCTTTCCCTAAACAGTATAGTAGTTTGTTATAAGTGAATAGTAATGCCATACCAGTTTTCTGTCTAGTATTAAACATAAGAACATAAGAGACGCCAATGTTGGATCAGGCCAAAGGCCCATCCAGTCCAACACTCTGTATCACACAGTGGCCAGAAATACCAGGTGCCATCAGGAGGTCCACCAGTGGGGCCAGGACATTAGAAGCCCTCCCACTGTTGAGCCCCCCCAAGCACCAAGAAGACAGAGCATCACTTGCCCCAGAGCCCCTATCTATACCTTGTGGCTAATAGCCACTGATGGACCTCTGCTCCATATGCTTATCTAATTCCCTTTTGAAGCCGTCCATGCTTGTAGCCGCCACCACTTCCTGTGGCAGTGAATTCCATGTGTTAATCACTCTTTGGGTGAAGAAGGACTTCCTTTTATCTGTTCCAACCCGACCGCTCTGCAGTTTCATGGAGTGCCCACAAGTTCTTGCATTGTGAGAAAGGGAGAAAAGTACCTCTTTCTCTACCTGCTCTTTCCCATGCATAATCTTATAAACCTCGATCATGTCACCCCTCAGTCGTCTTTTCTCCAAGCTAAAGAGCCCTAAGCGCTTTAACCTTTCCTCACAGGGAAAGTGTTCCAACCCTTTTATCACTTAACATTCTCACTTAACACTGTGAATGTTAGAGGAGATGAGAATGAACGTGGCCATTAAGGGGTTAACTGGCTCGGTTTGCACATTTCCCTTCTACTTCTGCAACAAAAGCAAGAATAGAGATTTCTCTTAAAAATGCAAGTTGGTTATTTGGTTGGGGGAAATGCTTTTCCCCCATATCCTCCTCTGTGGCTCCAGTCCTGTTTGCCCTGCTCCCAGCGTCATCCCTAAGCAAACAGAAACCAGAAGAAGGGGCTTCAACACACTCCTGGGATATTTTAGGTGGCGTGAGAGAACACTGAAACTCACCTGATTCCAGAACAAAGCTTGAGTCCAGTGGCACCTTTAAGACCAACAAAGGTTTATTCGATTCATAGGCTTTTGTGTGTATGCACGGCTTATAAAGGTAAAGGTTCCCTTGCTCGAAAGCCGGTCGAGTCCGACTCTAGGGTTGCGGTGCTCATCTCCGTTTCAAAGCCGAAGAGCCAGCGCTGTCCGAAGACGTTTTGGTTGGTCATGTGGCCGGCACGACTAAACACCAAGGCGCACGGAACGCTGTTACCTTCCCACCGAAGCGGTACCTATTGATCTACTTGCAATTTCTTGCTTTCGAACTGCTAGGCTGGCAGGAGCTGGAACTAGAGACGGGAGCTCACTCCATCATGCGGCACACTCGGGTCTCGAACGGCTGAACTACCGACCTTCCACAGCCTGCAGTTCAGCGTCTGAACCCCTTGAGCCACCGCAGCTCCTGCACGGCTTATACCTTTTGAATAAAGCTTTGCTGGTCTTAAAGGAGCCACTGGACTCCAGCTTTGTTCTGCCGCTCCAGACCCACATGGCTACCCACTTAATTCCATCACCTAATTCCAGGCACAGAATAAATCTTCTGGTTCAGAACACCCAATACGCTGTATGCTGTTTTCACTTCCTTATAGTGGCAAGAGCTTGGTCCGGCTCTTTACTGCAGTCCGGCATTCAGGGGCTTTGGGGAATTCTCACACATGGGTATAAGACTAGGGTCTGGGAGACACAGGTTCGGATTCCTGCACTGCTGTGGAAGCTCCGTTGGTGAGCTTGGGCCAGTCATACACACTTGGCCTAACCTTCTTCACAGGATCGTTGCGACAGTCAGATGGAGAAGGATGGAAGTTGTTTCGGGTTCTCACTGTGGAGAAAGGTGGGGTATGAATGAAGCGAATGAAATAACGGCAGGCTGCATTTACTTTTTACCTTGCAGCTTTGCCTGTAGTCTGCTAAGCTGTGGGCTAGGCAGCAGTGCAAGTTTCACTGTGGCATAAGAAGGTCCATGGGCTGTCTTGACATCAGTTTCACCACAGAATGTCATTTACACTCCATTTTCCTTCCCAGTGGAGACGTTTATCCACCCTGAGAGACAGGTTAGGCTGAAAGCATGTCCCTGGCCCCAGCTCACCAAGGATGTTTCCATGGTAGACAGGGATACCTCGGTCTCCAAGATGCTAGTTCAACACTCCACCCACTGTACTGTGTTGGCTCCCAGCTGTGCTATGTACTGCCTGTAGCCCAACCGGTGTCCTGTGTTCTAGAAACAGGCAAAGGGAATGTATTCTGTCCAATACAACCAAGTCTTCTTCCACCGACAGAAGGCTTCACCTTTAGTGGTGCATAGCAAGCTGCATCCAGCCCAGTGTTCACAATGCTCCCAGGGCTCTACTGGTAGCAGGAGCTCCTTTGCATATTAGGCCACACCCCTCTAGTGTAGCCAATCCTCCAAGAGCTTACAGTAGCCCCAGTAAGAAGAGCTCTGTAAGCTCTTGGAGGATTGGCTACACTAGAGGGGTGTGGCCTAATATGCAAAGGAGCTCCTGCTACCAGTAGAGAAACTTCCTGCCTCTCTGAATGTCTCGATATTTTCAGCCTTGTGACTCAAACCTTATTTCTTTTCCAAGGTGAAAGGCCCGTCGTTGTCCGATCCGAACGTGTTAGCAGATCTGTTGACGCCATGTTCTCCAGGAGATCCCGGTGCCATTGAAATGACGTGGATGACAGTACCAGGGGATAAACTACTGGAGCCTGTTGTTTCCATGGTCAGTTTTTGTTTTTCTTTGTTTAACTGTCAGCTGATGTCTTTAAGTTGCTAAATAAACAATGCCTTAATTTCCATATTGAAGCACCCAGTAAGTCTGGCTGGATCACGTGCTGCCATACCAGGTTTACTCAAGACAGCTGGATCCCTTCGATTTTGAAACACCAATTTTCCACTCAAATGGCACTCCTCCCTGTTGTTATTGTCTTTTTGGAGCGCGCCAGTCTCCTTCCCACTTGCTGATGAAGCATGTGCCAGAACTTTGTGCTTCATAATAGCATTTATGAGTTGAAACAAATATAGGCAACGGTGGTCTGATGATTTACCTGATGGGCCTTTGGTGGTTCACCCTGTTTCCACTCGCCACGGATGAGAAAACAGTTCTTTGCCTGCAGGGAGCTTCCCAGATCTGTTGCTCAAGCTGCCCCGTGGCAAATTTATTATTGGTAGATCGGTGAGTCAGTAGAAGCATTTATGCAGGATAGTCAATGTATGTTCTCACATGCAAAAATACCTCAAGCTTTGCCACACTGACACACCTCAAGGACTCACACGAAACCTGCTGGCGGTTGTGTCAATGCATAATGCTGCCAGCTGTAGTAGCAAATTATAAAGGTAAAGGTTCCCTTGCTCGAAAGCCAGTCGAGTCCGACTCTAGGGTTGCGGTGCTCATCTCTGTTTCCAAGCCGAAGAGCCAGCGCTGTCCGAAGACGTTTCCGTGGTCATGTGGCCGGCATGACTAAACACCAAGGCGCACGGAATGCTGTTACCTTCCCACCGAAGGGGTGCCTGTTTATCTCCTTGCAATTCCTTGCTTTCGAACTGCTAGGTTGGCAGGAGCTGGAATGAGAGACGGGAGCTCACTCCGTCATGCGGCACACTCTGGTCTCGAACTGCTGAACTACCGACCTTCCACAGCCTGCAGTTCAGCGTCTTAACCACTTGAGCCACCGCAGCTCCTAGCAAATTATTAGGATTTGGTTATTCTGCAGCAAGATGGTGGTGAAAGGAAGGAGTTATCACCTTGCTACCTTTCAAATACATGACATGCAATGTGTTCTATTCTTCACCCAATACTAATTCAGTAACTGCATGTGGAACTTTTGTTCCTTTCCTTTGAAGTTTAACCACAACTACAAAATAGATTCAGGTGGGTCTGAGGCAACAGAACAAAGTTTGAGTCCAGCGGCAACTTCAAGGCCAACCTAGTTTAACTCTGGGTATAAGCTTTCATGTGCATGCATGCTTCTTCAGATATCTGCATGCACACGAAAGCTTGTACCCAGAATTAAACTTGGTTGGTCTTAAAGGTGCCGCTGGACTCAAACTTTGTTCCACAACTGCAAAAGGAATTGCCTTGCACATCTGTTCCCGTAAAACTCCTAAAGGCTGGAGAGTATTAAAGAAAAAATTGCAAATAAATACCATCCATTGGCCGAGGAAGGTAAGAGCATCAGTACGAGGAGAAGAATCATAATGCTGTGTCCGTTGTAAAAAAAACAACCCTATTCTTAGTGATTTTGTGTACTTACAGAAATTAGTACACATGTATGAAATCTCCTTTTCTTTCCCTTCTGCCCTGAGGAACTCTCTGAACTTAACGGAAATTCCCCAAGTCAGTCTAGATGCTGATTCCACAATTAACTCATTGGAATTCTTCCACAATGAGTCACAAAAGCACCATGTCAGGCATCTACAGGGGAATGCCACATCAATTGGGGGTGGGGGTCTGCTTCTTAAACATACCCCTGTGCCATGTCACAAACTGCTTTTGAAAAGCACCCTGTTTCATAGTGGTTTGCCACATGGCATAGGTGACTGCTCTTTGAAATATATATGTTAAATTCTCTTGGATTCTCAGGACCGAGATCACGGTCTGAGCCTGCAGTCCTAACCTTGCTTGCTCAAGAGTAAAGGTCGCTAAACTCAGTAGGACTTATTCTGAAGGCAGCATAGCGTTTGAACAGACTTTACCCCACAAAATAAACTTGCTGAACACATGCAGCATTGTGCCAAAAAAAAGCGCCCTTCGTAATATTCTAAATAAATATTCTAACTGCATTTTTAAGCAAAGCTTTGCAAATGAGTTCCAGGTATTCATGGTTTAGTGACCCAATCTAATGGGCTTCCAGAATCTCTTATAGAGAATTATATTTAGGTTCCCCAGTGGGACTCAGTGCTCAGTCTAGAAGAGAACTCAGAGATTCTTAGTTTTGCACTTCTCAAGCTGGATTTGTGTCTCCGTGCTTGTTAGCAGCATATATGGTTTTCAATTATTAATATATAGTGAAAAAGAAATACTAGATCTCAACTCTATTGTGTCTTTACAAATTGGTGTATTAAGGTGGTGTGTGGATGTGGAAAAATTCTTTTTTTTCCGATTTCCCAAAAAATATCGGTATTCCCGAATACCAGTATTGTATTGGTATTCGGGTAAATATTCAGAAAGCCAGTTTGGTGTAGTGGTTAAGAGCAGTGGACTCTAATCTGGAGAACTGGGTTTAATTCTCCACTTCACATGCAGCCAGCTGGGTAACGTTGGCTCAGTCACAGTTCTCTCAGAGCTCTCTCAGCCCCACATACCTCACAGGGTGTCTGTTATGGGGAGAGGAAGGGAAGGAGATTGAAAGCCGCTCTGAGACTCTGAGTGAAGGGAAGGGTGTAAATCCAACTGTTCTTTTCCTCCTCCTCCTCCATCTCCTCCTCCATTTCCATCATCATACCCTATGGGGACTTTCACTCGTCGAGTCGTGCTGCTATGGCAGTGCAACTTGGCAAGTTAAGAAGGCATTCAAACTTTAAATGCCTTTAGTTCATGCGCAAAGTTGTGCTGTGGCAGCAAAACAACTTAATGAGCAAGCGGAAGGCATTTAAACTTTAAATGCCTTCTAGCTGCACCCGAATAAAAGCCAAATAATATCAGCTTTTTTTCAGGCTTGGCTATTTTTGTAACCAGATCAGATTGTCTAATCTGTATTCATATGGAAAGATACCTGAAAAATACTGGGTATTTTTCAGGGATTTATTTGGCTCAGTATATATTGAACGCATATCCCGAGTTATAACTGCCAACAAGAATACACTTTTACTTAGAAAACCATGAGTAAATGAAGTCTTCCTAGCTAGTGATTTTAAATCAAATCCACACAGTTTTCATATGAAGCAGGGCTTGAAAACATGGCCACTGCCTCAGCTGCTGAGTGACAACAGTGGTGGAGTACTGCCCACCCACTTTCCTGTTTGGTAGGTCTTGAAGGCGATCTCCTGAATTTCCAGACTTCTACATACAAAGGCTCCAAACAACTTGTAAATAGCAAGGTGTTTTTGGTTCTGAGATAAAACCATAGAAACCAAAAGGATTAGTGACAGTGATGGTGCCCAGGAATTTTTTAAATTGCTTTTGATACTTGCTCCACTGGTCAGGATTACTTCTATGGAGGTTAAATAGTTTCATTGCTTATATAATTGCAACTAGTTGCAGGCTGGTACTCCCACTTAATTTTCCTAAACCTTCGTGCTCGTCTTGCTGAATTGAAAAGTACATGGTTGATGTGGCTTTTGCACGTGAGTTCGCAAAGGAGCAGTCAAACAATTCTGCCTGGTTTTATACTTACTGAGTCATAATGAACCTAAAGAATGATTATTGAAAGCAGTGGTTTTTTAATTACGTGGTTTTACTATATTTCTTGTACCTGGAAAAAGAAATCCTTTTTACCATTTAGAAAGCCTTGTATTTTTGTTCTTAATGCAAGCACAGCATATATAGGTTCGTTTTTTGCTTTTGTTACCCCCTGATGGGGCAGACTAGAAATCCAAATTGTTTGGGGATTAAAAATAGTTAACATGCCTTGACTGGTAATACATGTTTCCTAGCAGTGGTAAGCTGTGAACAGGCAAGCACATACAGTGTAATGCATATATGCAAATATGTATAGCACAGCGTAATGATAGGTGCTATTGAGAGTGGTTCTGCGGAATATTATTATTATTATTTATTTATTTCAACTTACTACCCCTTTCGAACCCCCTAAGGGGTCTCTGAGCGGCTACAGTTACTCATTTATCCCTAACCTATGGCCACAATTATTAGGGGTGGGGACAATCCCTACTGGCACCCAGTGGAGGGGTTAGTCGATCTAATAGGAGAGTTAATGTGGGGCTTGACAAGCTGGATCCAGGAGGCCACCCATTCAAATCTCCCTCCAGCGGAGGTCTCACTATAGGATCCCGTTGAGTTCCATCTTCTCCCCCACACTGTTTAACATCTACGTGAAGCCGCTGAGAGAGATCACCAGGTGATTACGCAGGGGCCTGGCACGATTAATCATGTGCCCTGTTAACTGGGTGTTTTTTTTTTACTGGTTTTAGTGTCTATTAATGTTTTTATGTATCTAATGTAAATTTTAATTCTTATTGTTTTTATTCATTGTGTTTTATTGTTTTATATTGTTGCAAACTGTCCAGAGAGCTTTGGCTACAGGCAGTATAGAGATTTTATGAGGCGGAGGAGGAGGAATAAGGTGCCACCAATATCCAGATGACACCCAGCTGTGCTTCTCCTGAACAGCAGAGTGGGGGGCGGGGCATCTGTAGAAGTCCTGAGTAGATGCTTGGAGGCAGTAGTGGGATGGATGAAGATAAACTCAGTGTGATGGATGGATGGATGGATGGATAAAACTGAAGCCCGGTCCAGACAAGACTGAGTTGCTGCTCTTCAGTGACAAAGCTGCTCGAGGACTGAGAAGGCAGCCTGTCCCGGAGGGAGTTGTGATCCCCATGAAGGAGCAGGTCTGTGGCTGCAGGGTGGTGTACTGCTAGATCCAGAATGCGGCGGCCAGGTTGGTTGCGGGTGCCCCTAGATGGGACCACATCCAACCAGTGCTGAAAGCGCTGCACTGGCTGCCTATAGCATTCCGGATTCGCTTCAAAGTGCTGGTGCTTACCTTTAAAGCCCTACATGGCCAGGGTCCGGCATACCTGAGGGACCGCCTTTCCCCATACAGGCCCCAAAGAGCACTTCGGTCGGGGTCACAACCCCGCGTAGTGACCCTGGGCCCTAAAGAGGCCACGCTTGTTGCCACAAGGGCCAGGTCCTTTTCGGTGGCGGCTCCTATCTGGTGGAATGAGCCCCCCGAGGAGATCAGGGCCCTGCAGGACCTGTTAAAATTCCGCAGGGCCTGTAAGACGGAGCTCTTCCGCCAGGCTTTCTAATAGGAGCCGCCACCTCCACCAATGGGGGACTGCAAAGCAGTACCGCTGGGTTGGGCCGTTCTGGCCGTCTGAACATCATGGCCCACAGCATCCCCCTCGTTGACCCCTATGTGGTGAACAATAGGGAGCGAGTATGGTAGTCGCGATGGATCCTTGGGAGTTGCTTACTGTGTTTTAACTGTCTTAACTGTATTTGATTGCACTGTGTGCCTTAATTGTTTTAACTGTGCTGTTGTATTACACCTCGTGTTGTAAGCCGCCCTGAGTCTGCGTGCGGGGAGGGCGGAATATAAATAAAATAAATAAAATAGTTGGAGGCCCAGATCTGCTCTGTAGCATGTGCACTGGCCCTTTATCAGCTTCGGCGGATACGTTAGCTACGGCCATTCCTCGAAAGTCTTTCCGTGCTCCGATTCCATCTAGGCTAGATTTCTGTGATGCTGTTTATGTGGGGCTGTCTTTGACAATGGCCCAAAAGGTAGCAGCCATGCTATTGGCCAGGGGTGTGATACACGGATCCTATCATCCCAGTGGCGAAAGACCTGCCTTGGCTGCTCGTTTGCTTCCTGGCACAACTTAGAGTTCTTCCCTTCATTCTTTAAATAAATCTTTATTAAAACAATCAATCAACAAAAGGAAATATAAAATACATAATCATCCCTTTACCTTTTAAAACTGTGGATGGAGGCCTCTTTATCAGCAGAGGGCAATTATGGTAATTAGTTCAGTCTAATCTATTGCCAGTTTTCGGTCTAATCTGAGCGTGTCTGCTTTTCTGCTCTGCTGTTAATTTCACAAGGGTATAGGTCTCCTTCATTTTCAACAACCAGTCCTGTAATTTAGGAGTTGTTTTTTTTTTGTTTACACTGCCTTACAAAGGCCAACCTGGCAGCGGTAATCGTGTGTCAGGCAACTGTTAGCTAGTCGCTAGGGATATCAGTTAATTTAGCAGTCGTGTCTCTGGCTTGTAGGGTATCTGTTTTCTCAAACCAGCTGATACAAGTTTCACAACTGGTTTCCAACAGCCGGAGACATGCGTACATGTCCACCCCGTGCAATAGAAGTCTGCCTCATTTTCTCCACAGAACCAGCTTTTGCTAGTTTCAGTGTTATAGATCTTAGCCAAACTTAAAGGAGTCAGATGCCACCTGTGAATCATTTTCAGCAGAGAGACTAACTGCAAAGTTATAGTACCATGACAGTTCTTGCCTTTAAAGCCCTAAATGGTTTGGGGCCAGGATACTTGAAGGGCTGCCTCCAATGTTCCCTCTAAGCTGTGGAGTCGTGTGAGCAAAACCTCTACTTTGTGAGCGACTAGCATTAAAGTTGTGAGCGAGTGATTTGTCTACTGCATAAATTAGTCTACTCTGGAGCCCTCCTTCGTGAGCTAAGACAAAAATGTGTGAGCCGGAGGCTAAAAAACTGTGAGCTAGCGCACCCTAACTCAGCTTAGAGGGAACACTGGCCGCCTCCTCCCTTTTTGTCCAGCCCTCCAGTTAAGATCTGTCTCTCGAGTCCTGTCGTCCGTCTTTGTCCCTGCCTGCAGAGGTGAGGTGGGTGGCAACCAGGAACAGGGCTTTTTTCAGTAGTGGCACCTTGCTTGTGGAATGCCATTCCCCTTGGGGCTTGGTTGGTTCCTATGTTGCTTCCTCCTAAGTGCCAGGCCAAAACGTTTCTGTTCACCTAGTCTTTTAATTAAGGGTTGGTTGTTTTTTTTAAAAAACAAACAAACACTATTTAACCTAGAAACGCTTGTTTTAAGCTCTCTGTGGTCTGTTTTTATTCTGGGTTAAGGCTTTTTTAATGCTGTGATTTAGTGTTTCTTAATTATTTTTGTTTTGTAAGCCATCTGGGGCAGGTTCCTAGACAGGCAGCATAAAAATGTTCTCAATCAGGGCTGTTTTGGGGCAGGAACGCACAGGAACGGAGTTCTGGCTGGCTCCTGAGTTGGCCACACCCAGCAGGAACTCATTAGCATAATAGGCCACACCCAACAGCAGGAACTCATTAGGATTGGCTAAATTAGGGGTGTGTGGCCTAACATGCAAAGGAGTTCCTGCTACAAAAAAAGCTCTGGGTTTTGACAAAAGGTAAACAGGATAAGGAGCAAAAGGTGGGTGTGGCTGGATGACCAGACTTCTGGTAACATGGGGTTGTGGCCTAATATGCTAATGAGCTGTGCTGTCAGGGGTGTGGCCTAATATGCTAATGAGTTTCTGCTGTTGGGTGTGGCCTATTATGCTAATGAGTTCCTGCTGGACTTTTTCTACAAAACCCCCCGTTCTCAATAAATAATAAAGAGTTGTGTGATATGAAGCACTTTTTGAACACTGAACACGCTATATCTGCGGTGTGGTTTTGTTTTCGTTCAGTGTTGGTTCCCAGTCTTCTTAAATCCATGAGGACATACTCAGAGGTCATTTCGGGGGGGGGGAACGCGGGGGATCGCAGTTCCCCCGGGGGAGGTACGGGGGCGGGGCACATGACGAAGCCCCGCCATCCACTGCCGGGCCCCTCATGAGGCTCGGCAGTGGAGCTGCAAGGCCGCCGCCGGTGGCCGGGACCGTTGGGGGCGGGGTGTGTGGCCTTATGACACACTTCCGGTGATGTCGGGGTATTGGCCTTATGACACAGTTCCGGTGATGTCAGGGGGTATTGGCCTTATGACACACTTCCGGTGATGTCAGGGGGTGTGGCATATGCTAATGAGTTATGCTAATGAGTTCCCCTAGCTCTTTTTCTACGAAACGACCCCTGGACATACTAATGTGTGTTCCATTCTTCTGCTTCCTGTGGCCTAAAGGTCAGCCTCCCAGTTCTTCTTTTCACCACTGTGTGAAAGGTAGTCGCTACAGTTTCATGGGCTAATTCAATTTCTGATATATACCCAGAATTAAACTTTGTTGGTCGTAAAGGTGACACTGGACTCAAAGTTCTCACACCTGTTTGTTAACTCTTTTATTATCTGTGTGCTAATTTGCTGCTATTCACAGGTCTTACCAACTGCTTTAATCCAATCTTAGCTGTACTTAGCTCAGTTACTTATGCATCTCGACTCTAATTATCCCTTCCTGGCAACTAACCCCTCCCCATATGTAATGATTGAGGAAGTCTGTTTCAGTGTTTCTGAAGAAGTGGGCATGCACCCAAAAGCTTATACCAGGCATTAAACTTTGTTGGTCTTAAAAGGCGCCACTGGACTCAAACTTTGTTCTGTTGCTTCAGACCAACACAGCTACCCACCTAGATCTAGGTTTATGTCTGTGTGTGTTCTTAAAGAATTGTAAAGAGCTGTATATTTTTCTTTCTTTATGTAACAGGCTGATATGCTGAGATCCTTAGCCAGCACCAAACCCACTGTGAATGAACACGACCTGGAAAAGCTAAAGAAGTTCACAGAAGACTTTGGACAGGAAGGTTAATCCAAGGACCGATTTGACTGTAAAGTTTCTTTCTTTGGATTTCTTGCCTCTCTGTTGCCAATAAATGAAATCACTTCTTTTCTTTCTACATGGAAACGAGGAGCTGTTTGCAAGGACCCTTGAGCTTTTTGTATCTCACTTTCCAGAAATATCACTTAAATATTGTCTTCTGAAAGCATGATACTAGGATCTTATGGCAAAGAAGGTAAACATGTTATAAATATATTTAAAAAATTGGCAGCCCTTCCTGGTTTAATTTGAGTTTTTATTACATCAGGTTTTAGGTAGTGTACTAGCCCTAGTTATAATAAATATTTATAAACTTCTTCAGGTGTAAAAGAATGTGACTTGGAAAGGCGGCATAAGATCTGTTTGATTGCCAAATGTTTTCAGTTTACATCCGTTTGCCTGGAAAATAATTGATTTTTAATCATGCAGCAGAATTTGGTGACAGTGTATACTTGTAGTTAAAGAGGATAATTTACAATAAAGTTCAGGAAATGAGTGGGGAGGGGATTGGGAGAGAGAGAAACTTAATAATGGCCAGTTCTTGTATCAACACATTGATCTGGAGCTTCAGTTTCCCCCCCCCCCTTACTATGGTGTGGTTGGAGATTGCCTTAAGCAGCTGCAAGCATTATTTTTAATAACTCATGAAGAGACACCCGTCACTGTGCAGTCTACCAATGAAGATACTTGATATGAAAATACTACAAAGTTCTTCCTCTGTCTGTCTGGTTTTCACCTAGCTTCGCTCTCTGTAGGAGTTTAAGCCAAACATAAGAACATACGGGAAGGTTGTAGCCTGGCACTGGTTAGAAGGGAAAGTAATCCTACATTTCCTTTCAAAGGAACTTTGGGACCAAATACAGAAGGGCCTCATCAGTACCTCTGATTTACCAAGGGAAGTTGCTCTTACTCAAGGTTGCTTTATAAATACCTGATCTTGCTGTTTTGGAAGTGGGTTATTTGTCTAAACACACTGTAATAGTAGTGCAGACTGTTTTCCAGAGGCCTTTGCAAAAGAGTTACGCATCTTAGGAAAGTGTCTGAATGTAACTTACGATGCTGCAGTGTTGGCACTTGGGTTCGTGCCTTGCAAGTTTGACCTGGTTGTAGACAAGAAGCCACTGTAGTATCAGTAATGCAGCGCATTGCATTATTGCTTGTAACCACATCCTGCAGATGCTTTGTGCATTACAAATTTTCCATGTTTAATAAGAACTGTATGGCCACGTTCTCATAGGCTTTGGTTTCCTTTTTTATGTACATATTTTGTGTACTCTCTAAAGTAGGACAGGTGAAATTTTGTTTTGGAATGAAGTAAAAAGTTACAACACAACACAAACTTTTGTTTCTAGAGGTTTTGTTTCTTACTGTCATTTGAGACATGTAGAACATTCTGCTCCAAATGATGCATTGTTATGGGCTTGGATCCTGCCTAGAATTTTCACGAGTGCAAGGCGGGGCATTCTTGCTGATTCCCCCCTCCCGTGGGTTCTCTGATTCCCCCTCCCCCAGCTGTTCCTGAGTATTCCCCAAGGATCACCATTGGGGGAGGGTGGGATTTTAAGCTGCTGCAGAGAGAATGAATTGGACGAAATTGCCTGCCTCCTCACCCCATAGGTATTCTAGGCAGGATGCAGGCCATGGTGTTTTGGTGAAAGAATTTTTGAACATATCCTTGAAGTGCACTTTACTTACAGTTCTTCACTGTACTTTGTCATTTTCATAGTATTTCAGTATTTATACTATTGAAACACTTTTCAGAACAGTCTTCTGTCTGTCCTGTTAATGCATTGTGTGTGCCTAGCACTCATCCCACCTAATTCCATGCAGCTGTTTCTAGTGCCTGCTGTTTTCAAAATGTACATGCTTGGAAGAGCTAAGGACTGATACTTGATTGCCAACACTAGTTGAGTTTCCTCTTTTATTATTGGTGGCATTTGACACTTGGATCATGTAGGCGGTAGGTCACAATCCGAGCTCTTCTGTAATGGCTTAAATTCCAAAAGAAAATAAATTTGGTGTTTATAATTCCATTGGCTTGAATAACTGCTTGTGAAGATTTTGTATTAAATTACCAGTTTGTGCAGCATTGTAGTCCGGGGTATATTGTGTGAGCTATATCCTAAAAAAAAATTCCCCGCCATTCAAACGAAAGTGCTCTCTTCACCCCAATTAATGCTAAGTGAAAGTTTCCTGGAGCATCAGTATTCCAAGGTAGTGTGACTATTTGTTCATTACAGTTACAGAACAGTGCAGGATTTTCAGATACAACAATAATATCATTTTAAAAGTGTACAGAGAATTAATTAATTCTCATATGGCAGTGTGTGTAATATAGCCAGGAGATCCTAAGATTGTCTGGCAGCCAGAAGTTCCAGCTCTATTAGCGTTATGCACCACTAGGTGGTGAGCTAGACTTGTTTTTAAGGCAAGCGACATTTCAGAGGTGGCTTGCCTTTGCCTGCCTCTGCGTCATGCCCCTGGTATTTCTGGGAGGCGTCCATCCAAATACTAGCCAGAGCCAACCCTGCTTAGTTTCCAAGATCTAATCGATCAGGCTAGCCTGAGCTGTCTAGGTCAGGACAACGTACAGAGAAAAATGCTAAGAAAACATTTGATGGGAAAGCTAACAAAACAAAGTTATAACGTGTTTTGTGTTGCATAGTGTATTTCTCCAGTGTTTTCAATAACTGGATATAGACTGAATAGTTTTCCACCTGACCTCTGAAGTTAATGTCTGGCCAGTCATCTGCAGATATGAGGTCTATGACATGAAATGTGTGGCTTCCCTTGCTTGAAACCTAAGTAAACTGCCCTCATATCGCATCAGTATTTAAGTTAAACGTATTAAGTCAATTTTAAAAGCTGTTGACCTGATGGTTTGACTTTTTCCCTGTTGACCTGCTTGATATTTGGCCAAGCAACTACACACGTTTCATCCATGGGTCCTATACATGGGTTGAATCGCTCAAGAAAGAGGACCTGCATCATAAGAAGGAATGCTGTCTCAAACCTGTACTACTGATTCTTCCCATGGGGTGTATAATTTTTGGACTGCTTATATGTATTTATGTGGGGACACAAGTTACATATGCTAGGCTAGAGGGGGCATTCTTCATTGTCACCATCTTCCTCCTTTGGTAGGTGCTTGGACCTTCTTTTGAAGGGAAATAAAGCACAGTCAGTCCAAGTGGTTAAAGCTATAATTTTAGGCTCTGTAGAGACTGAGATCTATATCAGTTATTTTGTGCATCCACCCTGCTAAATTCTATGAGAGAACATCAAATCTCTCGATATGAGGTCCCTCCTTGCTAATGAGTTGTCTATCTCCAACTGGAACACAGTGTGTCTGAATTACCTTGAAGCAGGGTGGATAAAAATCAATGATTTTTTTTGGATTTTTAAAATTTAAACTGGATCTTTTAAAATAAAATGCTTTTTGAGGAAAAATCTATCTAAACATAGTTTTCTATTTAAGATACATTGTAGTCCAAAGGTTATTAATAATGAAATAAGGATTTGTTTTTAATTATGTAGCATGAGGCTATATATTTGTGAAATGTTTTGGTAAATTAATTCCATTAATCCATTCACAATGTCATGCTCTTCCAGAGGTTTCTGTGGGTTTATTGGGTAGTTTTTCTACCTAGAAGATACTATCACAGATGCTTGGTTTGATAGTTCTCAAAACTGTGAATTTGTGTCTGCAGAGATCACACACCTTCACAGCAAACAATGTTATAAACAGACAGAGTTAAGAGACCTCAGTCCTATTAGTTCTCTGCAAATATATGCACACAGAATCAACTCCTTATCTCTTACCTGCCAAGTTTCAAGAATTAAATGAATGTAAGATTTTTTGGGGTGGAATAGGTTTGGATAAGAAAGGGATGTTATAAGAGGTCAGTGTGAGGAGGAAGGGGCAAGCAATACAAATGAAAGTGAAACGTTTTGAGCAGAATACTCCAGAAATCTAGAGATCTTTGTGAGTGTATCCTCATGGAAGCTTTAAGCAAACACAAGAATACATAAGCTATATAATGTTATGGTTTTAGTTAAAAATTTCAGTGGCTATGGTTCATGATTATTTTTCTCTGTCCAATAAAGTACAGCAGAAAAGTTTTCCAAATATGAATGATTAACAACCTATTACACTGGAGATAGTTCACCTTGCAATAATTTCATAAATACCTGTTTCAAACGGTAAATAACCAATCATTAATTTTTTGATATAACTAAAACTAACCTGGAAAGTTGTTATACTAAAATGAAACCTTCATCTGGGTTGCAAATATTAACACCAGCAAGAATGAGCCTTTATGTAGAAAATGATGATTTAAATCAAGTCTTACTGACTAGTTATTTAAATCAAATCCACCTTGCCTTGAAGAGTAAGGTTTATAACTTAATCCTGCCTGGTGTAAAGCCGTCTCTTCAGTCAAGCATTTGGCAGGCATGGATGTAAAGTTCAGGAAGGAAAGGCACCCATTCCTCCAAGTTCTTATGCCTGCTGTATCCTTGATTATACAAGGTGGGGGCCCATGAGGAAACAGAGGGGGGGAAGGAGAAAGGCTTTGGAAATCTTATCCCATCTCCTCCTCCAGAATTCTGGGAGTATGTGCCATTTTTCTTATCTGCGTTCTCTTCCCTCCCTTAAGTGATTCTCAGCAGTGCTGTCAGCCCTGAGAACTGTATTCTATCCTTGTTAGACCATTTCGAAGGGCTTTTTCTTTTTTGGTAATTGCCATGTCATATTTTTCTGCATATCTGGGAAATCCCTAAACCTTATGTTGTTTATGGGTAAGGTTTTTCTGCTTTCATCATAAAAATCAAATTGTCATATCAAATGGACTAATTCATTGTATTCATTTTATCAAGCAAATTTTGGACAAGTACACAAACTACAATCTCTTAGGGAGCTTGCTATTTCTCTGCTATGGATGGGTATCTGAGTTCGAGGGAACTTGGGTTTTCACATTTGAACTAATAATAGCCTTTCCCTTTGGAATCTGTAGGGAGCAAAGATCTGTGGGATTCTAACAATTCAATTTGGAATTGCAAGTCAGTTTGGGATCCAGTTATACGAAAGGATTCTTCAAGAAGCCCACTTAAGTCCTAGCTTTAGTGATAAAAAAATCTATACCACATTTGTTTTCAAGATTATCCAAAATATTTTTAATAAAGTCCATTGTCTCCTGGTCAAAACTATATTGCGTTTTTATGAAACAAATATAGGCCTCTGAACCAAGTTTCTTTACATGTTTTTCTCCCCTACAATCACACAAACCAGGGGTCGTTTTGTAGAAAAAGAGCTAGGGGAACTCATTAGCATAACTCATTAGCATATGCCACACCCCCTGACATCACCGGAAGTGTGTCATAAGGCCACACCCACCACTCAGTTAGTCTTAGTCTTAAAGGTTAGTCTTAAAGGTGCTATTTGTTAGTCTTAAAGGTGCTATTTGAACTCTTGGACTATTTTGCAGCAACAGACTAACACAGCTACCTCGGGGAAGCTCCTGGATGGGGCTGGGGCCCCGCCTCCCGTACCTCACCCGGGGGAACTGCGATCCCCCCCGAAATGACATCTGACACAAACCATTTTAGACAATTTATGTGCTGCTTCTCTATGAAACCTGCCTGAGATGACTCAAAATAAAACATAAATCACTTTACATCACTAATTAAACTCAGGCAGAACATAAAACACTGAGCACCTTAAATCAAGTCCCACACAATTTTTATTTTATCATGTGTTGTGAGCTGCCCTGAGCCTATTTGTGGGATAGGGCGGGATATAGATCAAATAAAATAACGGAATTGTCAGGCTAAAAGCAGGTGACAAAATGTTAAACATTCACTCCTTAATGAAAAGGCTGAATTAAAAAGGAAAAAACCTTACAAGTCTGGTACTTAAAAGAGCAGAATGGGTGCCAGGTGAGACTCAAGGGACCGCCACTGAAAAAGCCCTGTCTCTGGTCATTACACACCTGAAGGTGGGGGCTTGGAGAGCAGGTCTTGTGAGAAAGCTGTACAATACCAGAGGAGAAAGTCCTTCAAGCACCCTGGCCCCAAGTCATGTAAGGCTTTAAAGGTAAGAACAAACACTTTGAATCGTGTCTGGAAGCAGATGGAAAGCCAGTGCAAGTCTTTCAGTTAAACATTTAAATGTTCAAAAATAATCTTCACATTATCAAGAACTGCTTAGAATCTACAGGAGTAGTAGTATTTTTCTTCCAGTATTTTACATAACTAAATACTTTTTTCAATAACTAAATACCAGTGTCTTAAATAATGAAACAGATATATAGTCTCTACATTAGCAAGGCCTCACAAGTTTAGTACTGTAGATTTGTTGGGCCACAGCCCAGTTCCCTGTAGCATAATGGCTGAGCAGGGCAATTGTCCTTTACCCCAAGCCTGTGTGGTACAGTGTGGCAGGCGGTAATTCTCCCAATACTGCCCTGGAAGTACTGGAAATGTGTAGGGAGAGGGGGAAAACCATTGAGGAATGTCTCTTACAAGGTTCAAATCCTAACTTTCTTTAGTCCCCTACAAGTGGGGACTCATCTCCCTATTGGCCCCCATCTTGTACTGCTCCTCCAGTCATTCCTTCCTCTCCCTCCTGCTTGCTGAGCCATGCTTTTTTCCCTTTTTTGTACCAAGAGTAGGTACACGTATCTGTATATGTACACATAAAACATTTTACTTGGGTGAAAGGGCTGATCTCTATATTTTCAGATTGTTCTGTGAACAGGTTTCCTCCATATGTCCCGTCCCTAGGTGACCCAATTTATGCAGATGTTTTAATCCACACAGTGGGACCACGGTGTGAATTGGATATGAGAAACTAGTCTAAAGGATTTGGGAAGGAAAGAGCCAATTCTTCCATTACTCTTTTAAGTGATGATCAACAGCTTACAACATTCCATGTTTCTTGCAGAAGTAGTGATCATGCTCAGATCATGGAGTGGACAAATTTCTTGCAATTTATAAACTTTTTCTTTCTGAATGCCTGGAGAATATACTCCTCAGTATGTAGCCACTGTTTACCTTGACTGTGAGTGGCTTCATTTCACTGACCTCATAGATGTGGAACCAAATTGATATTTGAAAAACCGATTGAAAAAAATAGGTCCACAGATAAACCATGGAAGTTAAGCATATCCAGATTACATGATACATGTACGTTAAGTGTCGTTAAGTTGCTTTCAACTTATGGTGACCCTATGAATTAATGACCTCCAAAATGTCCTATTGCTAACAGCCTTGCTCAGTTCTTGCAAAGTGAGGGCTATGGCTTCTTTAAGTCAATCCATCTCATGTTGGGTCTTCCTCTTTTCCAGCTGCTTTCAACTTCTCCTAGCATCATTGTCTTTTCCAGGGACTCTTGTCTTATAATGTGACCAATTTACAACAGCCTCAATCAAATCATTTGAGCTGTGGTGCTGGAGAAGGCTCCTGTGCATTCCCTGGACAGCAAAGCAAGCAACAAGCAAGTACTGGCGCACATAAAACCAAACATGTCATTGGATGGAAAAATCATAAATCTGCAACTGACTTACTTCGACCATGTCATGTGGAAGAACTCACTAGAAAAAGCTTTGTTTGGATTGGTTAGTGGCAAAAGGAAACCGGGCCACCAAAGAACATGGTGGCTAGACACCATAAAAGTAGACACCAATCTGAACGTGGAACAAGTCAAAGAAACAGTACCAGACTGGAAAATGTGGAGAAAGCTGGCCCATAGATTTGCCAAGAGTGAGACACGACTGAATGGCTAACAACAACAACAATTTAGTCAGGGATCAGAGTTGATTTGATATAGAACCCACTTATTTTTCTTTTGTCAGTCCATGGTATCTGTAAAACTCTCCCTTAACACCATACTTCATATCAATCAACTTTTTTCCTGTCCGCTTTTCTCACTGTCCAGCTTCTACATCCATACATAGTAATGGGGAATACTACAGTATGAATTATCTTGATCTTGGTCACCAGCAACGTATGCTTACACATAAGAATCTTTTCTAGCTCCTTCATGGCTGCCCTTCCGAGTCTCAATCTCCTTCTGATCTCTTGGTTGCAGTCTCCCTTTTGGCCGATGACTGATCCAAGGAATATAAAATATTTAACAATTTCAATTTCTTCATTGTCAAAGCTGTGTAATTCCCCAGTAGTCACTGCTTTTGTCTTCTTGATGTTTAGCTGTAATCCTGCTTTGGCACTTTCTGCTTTAAACTTTATCAGGAATCGTTTCCAGTCTTCCTGATTGTCTGCCTGTGGTGTCATCGTATCAAATTGTTAATGTACCTTCCACCAATGTTCACTCCACCTTCATCTAAATCTAATCCAGCCTTCATTACAATATGTTCTGCAGACAGATTATAGACAGATTTCTAACACCTTTGCTAATTGGAAACCATTCTGTATCTCCATATTCTGTCTTAGTAGTCGTACAGAATGCACATCAAAACAATCATATGCTGTGGCACACCCATTTCTTTTAAAAACAGCCATAGCCTTTCATGATCTACAGTCAAAAGCTTTGCTGTAATCCATGAAACAGAAAATGATTTTCTTCAGAAATTATCTTGTATGCTCCAGTAACCAACATAAATTTGCAATATGATCTCTAGTTCTTTTTCTAAGTCCACCTTGAACATCTGACATTTCTCATTCCATATATGGTAACAATCTTTGTAAGATGTTGAGGATTACTTTACTCGTATGAGAAATATGAAATGCAATATGAAATATGAAATAGTTACTGCAGTCTTTGATGTCTCCTTTTGGGGGGATCTGAATGTAGATTGAACATTTCCAGTTTGTGGGCCATTGTTTTGTTTTCCATATTTGTTGGTATATTCTTGTTCCAATTCCAATAACCTTTATTGGCATACAGGTATATTCTTGTTAAGATTTTGATGGAGTCTGTTTCCATGGCTTGAAATAGCTCTATTGATATCCCATCTACTCACATTGATTTGTTTCTCCCACTTGCTATTAGTGCAGCTTTCACTTCATTTTCTAAAACTTCAAGAGTCTTCTTGGAAGGAATCTGTCATCCTTTCATCTCCTCTGTATCATTCTTCAGTGTATTGTTCCCATCTTTTCTTTATTTTGTCCTGTTCAGTTAATGTATTTCTGTGTTGATCTTTCAGTATATTTAACTGTGCTTTAAATTTCTCCTTGATTTCTTGGATCTTGTGGGACAGATATCTTGTTCTTCCCTTTTACAGTGGTTATTATAATAGTTCTCTTTGTCTCTATGTGCAAGTTGCTGGAATGCTGTATTTAGACTTCTGATTCTATTTCTGTCACCTTTTACTTTTGCTTCTCATCTATCTTTAACAATCATACAAATGCTAATTGGTCTAGACAAAAGGAGTGGTCAAGCTTTCTCCTCTCCCCCAATTCTCCAGGCAGGGAACAGAGTATGGAGGACTGTAGGCTAGAACAGCTCCAGGGATAATCTTCAGGAAGGGGCTGGAGGAAACACTTCTCTGACCTGGGCTGACCACGGTCTATCTACAGGCAAGCTATTTCTCCTGGAACCAAAGCTTCTGTAGAAACCTTCTACAGAATTTCTTGACTTGTGCATAGTAGCTTTGTGAGCTTTGGTGCCAGGAGAAATAATTTGCCTGAAGAAATTCTTGAAACACACAACTTTTGCCTGGGAGGCATGTTGCATTGTTTGCTGCACCTCTTTTCTGAAAGCAAGACAGCCTACATTACTGGCAATTGACAGCTGCTGCATCTCTTTTCCGAAAGCAAGACAGTCTACAGCAGTGGTGGCGAACCTATGGCACGGGTGCCAGAGGTGGCACTCAGAGCCCTCTCTGTGGGCACGCGTGCCATCGTCCCAGCCAGGCCCAGACCATCATTAAAGTGTCAAATTCTCTGCCAAATAATTTTAAGTAAATGAAAGCATTTGGGATTGCTTTCCTTACTTTGTTTGGATCATCTTAAGTTAATGTATGAATTGTTTTTTCTAAAGTAAAACCTCAGTATTCAGGTTAAATTGCCGTGTTGGCACTTTGCGATAAATAAGTGGGGTTTGGGTCGCAGTTTGGGCACTCGGTCTCTAAAAAGTTCGCCATCACTGGTCTACAGCATTGAATCCTGTCTCCATATTTGTCTCTGTAGTTGTGGACTTTCCTTCAAAATATATTGTTCCTCATGTCATTGTTATCGGTGTGCTATAATAAATAGGTTGCACTAGGGTCTTAACTGTATATTATATGATTTATTTGAATATATGAAGTTATAGTAGCATATCAGAACTGTGTATTTTGAACAGGGTGTTTTTCCACCTTTACCCCACCTGGGGGTTGGCAACCCTAGCCAGGAATGGCTAATTAGAATTCAAGATGCAGCAGCGCAACTAAGATTGGCATAACGCAAGTTGGTAAGGGTAAATGAAGTATAGTGGGTTAGACCGCAGAGACCGATGTAGTGATCAGCATGGTTTACTGGTACACAACAAACGACAAAGACTAACGGCTGGCCGGCCAACTATATACACACCTGGGGACACACCCCTAGGTCCTGTTGGTGGGTTTAAATCTCCCGCCACGGTCCTATTGGTTCCCCAGTGGCGAGACTAGGAGTCTAGTCCCCATTGTTCTTACAGAGTCAAGCTCTGGGGCAGTGTTCCCTCTAAGCTGAGTTGGTGTGAGCTAGCTCACTGTTTTTTAGCCTCTAGCTCACACATTTTTGTCTTCGCTCAGGAAGGACAGCTCCAGAGCAAACTAATTTTTGCAGTAGCCAAATTGCTCGCTCACAGCTTTAATGCCAGTGGCTCACAAAGTAGAATTTTTGCTCACAAGACTCCGCAGCTTAGAGGGAACTTTGCTCTGGGGGTATTCATTGGCCCCTGGTGGCAGTCAGCGAACATAAAACATCAAGTCCAAAGGGCAGCAGTACATGCTGCATTAACTCAGGGCTGCATCTACTGTTCTTCCCTTCTCCCATTTTTCTCCTCACAACACCCCCCCCTGGAGGTCCGTGGGCCACGGAGGATGGCCAAGGCCGCCCATCCGTCTCGCGGATCTGGGTCCCCCTCAGGCGCCAACCCGACGCCTTTACACCGCTACGCAGCAACACCAGTGTTCACACGGCGCCGGGAGGAAACTGACCGGCGACACAGACCGACAGGAGGCCGGCCGACGGAGCCCGGCCAGAGAGCCCCCTCCGCGCCTCCCCTTCTTCTTCACCCAGCCACGCGAGGCCCAACGCCAAAAAGAGCCCGCCAATTCTCCTCACGATTCCCCCTCAACCGTCCCGTTCCGCCCGCCCCCGCCTCTCTTCTGAGGCGCCGCGGGCGGCCAATCGGCGCGCGAAGACGTCACTTTTCTCGGTTCCTATTTTTCCCCCTCCCGGCGCGGGGCAGCCAATCGCGTCCTCCCTCTGTCCCGCGCTGGCCAATGGCGGGCGCGGCCGGTTTCGCCCCGCCCCACCCCTCTTCCCCTTCTTGGCTCGGGGTAGCTGCCTGCGACGCGGCCGGTCAGTCAGAGAGGCGGCCGTGGCAGCTGCGGAGGGTCGGGGTCTCTTCCCGCCCGTGTTCGGCCGAGCCTCTGCGTCTGGCGGCGGCGGGTTCCCGAGATGCCCTGGGTCGCCCTCCTCTTGGCGGTGGGCGGGGTCGCCCTCCTCTCGGCCTTCCTCCTGCTGCTCTACCTCGCGTCGCTGGTGACCAGCCCCAAGCCTCTGGCGCTGTCCGGCGCGCACGTCGTGGTGAGGAGGAGGGGGGCGGGGGGGATTACCTCGCCGTGTTCCCTCTCAGCTGAGTGAGTGTGAGCTAGCTCGCAGGTTTTTTTAGCCTCCAGCTCACAGGTTTTTGTCTTCGACCAGGAAGGAGGGTTCCAAATCAGTGTTCCCTCTCAGCTGAGTGAGTGTGAGCTAGCTCGCAGGGTTTTTTAGCCTCTAGCTCACAGGGTTTTTTAGCCTCCAGCTCACAGGTTTTTGTCTTCGTCCAGGAAGGAGAGCGCTCCAGAGCAGTGTTCCCTCTCAGCTAAGTGAGTGTGAGCTAGCTCACAGGCTTTTGTCTTTGCCCAGGAAGGCTGACTCCAGGGCATTGTTCCCTCTCAGCTGAGTGAGTGTGAGCCAGCTCGCAGGGTGTTTTAGCCTCCAGCTCACAGTGTTCCCTCTCAGCTGAGTGAGTGTGAGCCAGCTCGCAGGGTGTTTTAGCCTCCAGCTCACAGTGTTCCCTCTCAGCTGAGTGAGTGTGAGCTAGCTCGCAGGGGGTTTTTTAGCCTCCAGCTCACAGGTTTTTGTCTTCGCCCAGGAAGGATGGTTCCAAATCAGTGTTCCCTCTCCGCTGAGTGAGTGTGAGCTAGCTCGCAGAGTTTTTTAGCCTCCAGCTCACAGGTTTTTGTCTTTGCCCAGGAAGGAGGGATCCAGGGCAGTGTTCCCTCTCAGCTGAGTGAGTGTGAGCCAGCTCGCAGGGTTTTTTAGCCTCCAGCACACACATTTTCGTCTTCGCCCAGGAAGGAGGACTCCAGGGCAGTGTTCCCTCTCAGCTGAGTGAGTGTGAGCTAGCTCGCAGGTTTTTAGTCTCCAGCTCACAGGTTTTTGTCTTAGCTCAGGAAGGATAGCTCCGGAGCGGTGTTCCCTCTCAGCTGAGTGAGTGTGAGCTAGGTCGCAGGTTTCTTTTAGCCTCCAGCTCACAGGTTTTTGTCTTAGCTCAGGAAGGATGGCTCCGGAGCGGTGTTTGCTCTCAGCTGAGTGAGTGTGAGCTAGCTCACGGTTTCTTAGCCTCCAGCTCAGACATTTTTGTCTTCGCCCAGGAAGGATGGTTCCAAATCAGTGTTCTCTCTCAGCTGAGTGAGTGTGAGCTAGGGCGCAGGTTTTTTTAGCCTCCAGCGCACACATTTTTGTCTTCACCCGGGAAGGCTGGCTCCAGAACAACCTTATTTATGCAGCAGCTGAATCGCTCACTGACAACTTTCATGCCAGTTGTTCACAAAGTAGAATTTTTGCTCTTAAGACTCCGCAGCTTAGAGGGAGCATTGCCTCGTGGCTGGCTTCATCTTTTTAAATTACTCGCATCTGGTTCTTGTTGTGTTCTTTCATCTTTTTTTTCCTTTGGAAACGACAAAACTCCTTTGGGGACCGTCCAGCGATGCATAAAATTGGGAGAGGGAAACTGTCCCCTTTCTCTCTGCCCCCCCAACAAATTCACCAGGAATTTATAAGAGTTGTACAGAATAGAGTGATGCTTAGCCTAAAGTAAATAAATTCACAATTATTTTTCCTCTTTTTTTTTTGGAGGAAGGAAGAGGCAGTTGAGAATATAATGGGGTATTTTTTTATTTTTGAATTCATTTGTACTTTAAAACAACAACCCCCATTGTGTTTACCCTGGACCAAACTTCTAATTAAAACTATCAGCTTGATTCTTTGAGGTGTGCATTAAACTCAGGTGCATGTTACATTGCCTGTAGGTTTAAATAGCATCCTGTCTGAGCTATAGAAACTTGTGTGATGAAAAAACCAACTGCCTGCAATGTTGCTCGGAGCATTGTGCATGAGTATGAGAAGTTAATATCAACAGGGCATGTGAGGGTTGTACAATGTGCAAAGAATGCAAATTTATTGCTGTTGGTGCTTTAATGCACATTAAGGTGCTAGTGCTGAGCACCAGCCTTGGTATGCAGGTGAACTTTTCTCTCCATGAAGGGAGAAGACTACTTATGGCAACTAGGTTGAAGTCTTACCTGGCTCAGACCTAAGGTCTCCATTATCCTGGTTTTAATTCACCCCTAGGCCTATTCAGGCACTTTGTTTTCGTAGTCCCCCCCCCCCCCTTTCCTTTTTTAATTCTCCAGTGGATACCAAGGCAATTTATGACAGTGACCATTTACTGGGTGGGAATGGTGTGGTGGTGGAATAGGTTTGTATTTTTTTCCAACTCATAATTCCAAAAGTTATGGGGGCTGGTTCCCTCATGCATACCTTAAGGGCAGGGAGGGGAAGAACTGTGTCACGCTTTTGCTACATTATCTGTGTGATAAAGAGGGTGTTGTGTGTATTTGCTTGTCCGCCACATGTAGATTTCTGCTGCTGAAAGTGGTGTTTGAATTAGGCTGTGCTTCTTTAGCTCCAGTTTCCAAGTTGTAATATGCAGTGCCCGCATACCCCAAGATAGTTGGGAGAAGATGGGAAGCAGTATTTATACTTTCCGTGTTATGTGAATATTAAAAGTGCTCATAATGAATCCAAGGCCTAAACATCTTCTAAGTACAGTTTTGCTTAAGAATTCGAAGGTTTGTGGATATTGTGTGTCCTTTGTCATACACTTATTTCTTCAGTGTAGATTTTTGTTTATGTAAGACTGCGATAGAAGATCTGATGCCTCAAGGAGGAAGTTGTTTGGATTATTTTGTATTGAAGGTGAGGTTTTCTGGGTAGACAAATGATAGTAAAGGTTTTTATGTATATAGGAACTTCTTTGTTAGTCGGAACAGAGTATAAAGATTTGCACAAAAATCATATTGCATTCACCGTACAGTATCTTTTGAATACTTGCACTCACATGAATTGCCTAAGGGCAAAGCCTTGAACTCTTCAGACACAATACATATGGTAAAGTCACCAGATATAATAACCAACATATGGCCTGTCCCGTCCTGTTTGGAGACAGACCGCCCCTTAAACTATAGTTCTGCCTCCAAAGAGATTATGGTCCTGTCCTGGATAGCCCAGGATAGCCCGATCTTGTCACATCTGGGAAGCTAAGCAGGGTCAGCCGTGGCTGATATTTGGATGGAAGACCTCCAAGGAATACTAGCGTCATGAGGCAGAGGCAGGCAATGGCAAACTACCTATGAACCTCTGTTGCCTTGAAAACTCTGCAGGGTCGTCATAAGTCAACTGTGACTTGACACTTTCCACCACCAGTGGGACATATACTTACAACAAAGTCATATACTTATAATGTTTTCCATTCCTTTACTCTTAGTCTCCATTATAGCTCATACCTAATAAACAATCTGCTTCTGTGTTCTGTAAAATGATAAAACTACTCCTGTAACTAACCTTGCTGTTCTGCGTCGAGTTGAGCTAGTGTTAACATCTGGAATAACTGATCAGGATTGCACTGTTGGTTACCTTTCTGTGTGGGCATACTCCAACGCTCTGCTCTTTCCAGCAGCTCCCACAATATCATTGCTACTAGTAAGAGGTGTGTGACTGAAGCAACCTAGAATTTCTTGTTTATATAGATTGGTATTATACTCTAATTATAAGAAACCCAAGATGATATCTGCATCTTGACTGTACATACTCACCGTGAAGGGTCCTTCTCTGAGGCTTGGAGGACATCTTGGCGCTCCTGGGTCGTCATTTCCTCTATCTACTATGCTGTTCTTTCACACTCTATTTAAAAATAATAATAAGATTACGGTGAGAGAGAGGACTCACCTTTTTCTTCCTGTTCCAATGTTTGTGATTTGGCTGTACTCTTGTTGATGTTCAAGTTCTCTTTTTTACAATGGTTAAGTTAGTGTATTGCTTTTGGAGCACCAGAACTGAGCCTAGGGTGACTCCCACTACAGGAAACAGGAAGTAATTGAAATTAGTCCTGCCTTCCTAAGTGATGCATGGGAATCACCCACAAGATGTCCTCCAAGCCTCAGAGGAGAAGGACCCTTCATGGTGAGTAACCAGTGGTCGTTTTCATGCTTGTTTTGGCTGGCTTTTATGTTTGTATGCCTACAACCAATGCACTGTCTTTCATGGCTCAGTCACTGTCAGAACTGGTACAAGCTTCTACAAAAACTGGAGGTGTAGCAACATTCCCCAAGCCACCATCTCTTTTTTTTTTCCAGTTCTGTAGTGTGAGTCCTCAGCAAGGGAGTACTTGCTGGGGGTGGGTGGAAGATAGTGTGATCAAATACTACTTCCCTTAACCCATCTGTTACATAATTACTAACTGTATAAATAGTAATTCCTCCATAACAAAAATCCCTGTAACACAGCCTTGGTCAATCTCAGAAGCAACCATTAGTTTCTGATAACTGTATGCAAAGGAATGGGACAAAGAAAGTGAAAGCAATCTACTTTCAGTCATTGCCTCAGGTCCCCAGTCAGTCTTTTTATCTTGCTCATATTACTGAGTAATTGGTTTTTATTGCTGCTGGCTTGAGATTTTTTTAACTAGTTCTATTGAGTTGGCTGCTTTGAACTGGCATTGTTTTATGTGTTTTATGTTGTATATCATCTCAAGCAGTTTTCCTGGAAGGTAGCATAAACTTTCTAAATAAGCCTTCTGGTGCTTCCATATCACTGGTTTCGGGTCCTGAAAATCTGCCACATGTGTGCTCCTAAACAATGTGTCGTCCATTACCCTGAGATCTGTTCTAGAGCAGAGTACCCACTTTATCTTCCATGTGGCCAGCCCAGAAGGGTTATCATTAGGGATGGGCTTGGACCAGAAACATAAAGGTTCGTATTGGTCCATGGTTTGTGCAGTCCGTGACTTCGGGACATACTGCAACAGCCCCCCCCCCCCATGGGCTAGAGATACCAAACTCGCAGGAAGTCTCCAGGTGACTCTCCTCTATACCTGCCTTCCAAGTTTGGAGAAGATTAGATTTAGGGGGGCTGAGTTACGCCCCCCCCCAAAGCAGGTGCCCCCAGGAAAGGGCTCTTTGGGGAAATCACGGCTGCAGGTTCGGGAGTGTGTCAAACGGCCCCCGCAAGCTAGAGGCATCAAAGTTGCAGCAGACCTCCCC